GCGGGCAGGGGGGGGGGGGGGCGGATATTGGATGTGGTCCGGTAATGTGACCCAGCATCCGGTCCCGGGTCACTGCAGGGATGGTACACGGCAGCAGACAGCAGGGAGGGGGCAGCGCAGGAGCCAGCCTTGAAAGACGAGGCATACATATACATTTTGTACTGGCTACACTATGTCCGTTTTTGGTTTCAACCTTTTTGACGACTGCTGTTTCCCAAAACTAACCTCTCAGTCTTCGTCTTTGGTACGCTGAAACTTCAAACACCTAAAGGTACACCGTCCACGACTTCGCCCTAAATTCTAGCATAGTATAGCCCTGTAGTATAGAGGCGTCCTGAAGCAGTTCGCGGGCCCTGAGTGTCTTCATCTTTCCTGGCACCTGACAGGTCACTGAGACTGGTGTGTCCCGTCAAGGCAGGGCTGTGCCCCACGTGTCGGCTTCCTCTGACCGAACGGCCACCAATATTGGATCGGAACCTGCCCACGTGTCTATCTGAACTAGTGATGTCAATCGGTTACCGAAAATTTCGGTTACCGAAAAGATATGCTGACCGATTCGGTAATCGGTCGGTCAGGCCCCCCCAAAATCGGACACTTTCGGTCACCCTGCCAGTGAAACCATTTTCAAAAAGAGAAAGTATTCCATTTTTGCCTAGTTAAAATGAAATTTATTGGGATGTTAATGATAACGAGTTGCAAAATTTCCCCCAAAAGCTACAAGAGATGCCACATTTTGGCAACTTCAGTACCCATCCTGATCCCACCCAGCAGGCAGCAGCCACCCATTGTGCAACCACAACTACAAGCAGGCTGATTTTGACTCAGTTGGCCCCACAAATACACACAATTTCGAAACTCAATTCCAGTCTAACTGTTAAGATATCACCTGTAATCAAAGAAGTATTGCCTACAAAAATCATTATACAGTGATCAAAAATGCAAGGTAAAAAAGAACTTGAATTACTGAAATGTGTTTCTGGACAGTTAGCACTAAGCACTTAGCAGTGATCACATTTCAATTTACACTTCACAGGTGTTCTACTATTCCACATTCTCCTTAAAGGAAATAGTTCACTTTTAACATGGGGTTTTGAGCTGGAATAGCAGTTTCGTAGCTTGAGCTGAGACTAGCACAAATCAGGAGCTTTTACGGCTCAACGATCACCCTAGACGAAGAAATTCCATTTCTCGTTCCGAAAAGAGTGCCTTGTAGAGGAATGCGTGCCTTGCACAGGAATGCAGCCACGTCATCGTCAGCCAATCAGCGTGCTGCTTACAGCCAATGCAGTATTCGTAGGTTTGAGCTACGCAATATGATTGGTCAATGCGTAATAAGCTTCCGCGTCAAACATTATTTTACATAGAATATAGTTCGCCCTATATTAAAATAAAGAAAATAATTGTTTTTACAAAAAGGTTTTATTTTATTTCATGATTATTTTGAGCATAAAAAATCATAAATCAATAGCAAAATACTGATTTCAGGAAAGTGGACTGTTTCCTTTAAATATTGCAGGTACCAACCAAATGTTTGAAATCTAGATGACCACAACATAAAAACACAGGAATCTTGATAAAAACTAGAGGGCCATGTCCGCTTTCTGGGCCCTGTTTCACCGGTGATAGCAGCACGCTGCTTTTACACGTGTCAAATTGGGTTTCCATGGAAACATCAACAGGCCCATTGCTCCAACACTACCACAAGTGTGACGTCAGCTCGCGCAATTTGATAGCAGCGTGGTAGCAGCCGGCCCCCGCCGAAGTTAGTTGGTAGCACTGCTGCTCCACGGCGTACATTTCCTACCAGCCCATAGGGTTTACATGTTAAATGGCCTGTTTTCGGCGAGCGATATCTCGGTCAACCTTTGAAGGAATCAATGGTTCTTAGTCTCAAATGATAGATCGATGAATTTTCTTTCGACAATTCCCCTACCATTTTTCACGAAACCCAGCCGATCTTCTACGGCGTACAGGGTAAAGATTTCTCTGCACGCCAGCACCCGCGATCCGCCTCTCCGTTCGTCGGCGCGCGGTCCTCGGTAGCGCAGTCGGTAACGTATCGGGCTACGGATCCGAGGGTCGTGAGTTCGAATCCTGGGAGCGCCGCGTGATTTTGGCTTGAATTGAATGATGTAGATTCTTGAATGTTTGCATAATCAATTATTAATAGCTAATTGAATGTATCTGCCCACTAATCGGCCCCTAAAACCTGTTATTTTAGAAATTTAAGAAATGAATGTCACGTGCGCGTCACAACTGCCAACAATAAGCGTTACCATATTCTAGTTTGAACTAACTTTTTGCTAATCCCGACCACATATAGTAGGTTTTCTAGTAGATATACTAGAAATTCCTACCAAAGTTCGTCCTACCCTTCACTCAATATACCCTGGTAGCAGCATCCCGTGAAACACCGCCCTGGAGTCTTCCACATCATCTCCAAACACAAGGGATTTTGAAACAGATGCGCCATAACAGCGACTTTAAACCAGCTGATTAAGTTGCTGCAAAAAAGGTTTTGGATTGTTACATGCTGCCTCGTGAATGATTTTATTGATGTAAATGGTCCAACACGATTTTGATTTGAAGTCTAATGAAATCAACATTGTAAGTGTAATTCACTACAAGAAAATTAGTTTCACTTCAATAATTCAACCAAAAGGGCATATAAATAAATATTACGTCATCGTCTTACATCCTTTAGTTAGGGAAGAGAGGATCTTTAAAGTCAATCCTTGGTTCTACTTGGGTTCTACTGGGTTCTACTATTATTTTGCGCCAGCTTGTATTAATTTTGTCTGCATAATTGTGTTTTCTTGTAAAGATAAGACAAAGTGCCAGTTTAATGAATTTTCATTTCATTTTTGGGACGAAATTCAGGCTCAGAGCTACCTAATAGGTACCTGCCTTTTCAGCTGGATTTTCAGTGTCAAATTCTTCGTAGAGTAGGGGAGAACGGGGTTAATTGTAACATTTTTTGCATTTTATCATCTGGTGCAAACACGTTTGCAGTTATAAAACTCTTTCTTTTATTTTCAGAAACTATGAGGTTTTGTCTTTAAAATGCCGTTAAAACATTTCCGAAATAACTTATTTTTTCGGTCAAAATTGTTGTCCGAAAAAGTCAATTCATCTGTTACAATTCACCCCAGATACGGGGTCAAAAGTAACACCACCCGGGGACAATTGTAACATGCTAATTTACAGGCTACAGCAACACAATTTTTCCCAAAACTTTGATTTAACAAAAGTATTGAACACTTGTTCATCTTCCCAGACTTGGTGGAGACGGTTCTTCTCAGGAAAAAAGGCTTAAAACCTCGCACTTATACAGGGGTTGGATGGACCTCCTCTCCCTCGGTTTTTCGCAAATAAATCGCGTAAAAAGCTGCCGATTGCGACAAAACTTACAGCTCTCTTAATTCTAGCAATGTTTCATCTCCCTTGAAAATTTGACGACTTTGACATAATGGCGACTGACCTATAACCTGTTACATTTGACCCCTGCAAAAATGTTACAATTGTCCCCGTCCGCGCGCCTTGACATATTTTAGACGAAACTGGTGCATAAAGATGTTGCATGTACAGCATTTAATGCTTTCAATTTATGGACAACAAGCCTGCCAACGCTTACACAAAGTCTGAAGTCGATATCTTTTCAATGGCGGGAATGAGCTTATCAAATATAACGGTATAAACATTTATAAAATGCACTCAAAAACACATTACTGTGCACAGCCATCGACATACCCGGCACTTTCGCTTCAAACTCCGTTGGGAAAGGCAGTATAGAATTACGCATTTTCGGTCTTAACATTAGCGCATTCTATTGGTAAGTTTATGAATTATTAACACTGTTACAATTGCCCCGTGTTACATTTGACCCCGCTCTCCCCTATCTCAGACCGCATCTCAAGACTCAAGGCCAGTTTCCAAGCAGTGTTGATGTGTTTTGTGGTGTTTTGATTCTGCCTTTTCTCCTAGGGAATGTTGTCATGAACATACCTATTACCAACCATTGGACTTACTAATTGATCGTGCTTTTGCAACATAATGAGTATTCTTCCTTACATAGACCACAGCAGATTCTTGACAATTAACCAAATCTGTGAAATGCTGAGGTCCATGTGTTCCTAGTCTACCCTTAGCAATGTAACTTCTACCACAAAATGTATTTTGCAGTGGCTAGGAATTGACTGAATTTGGACTGAAATGCCATTTCCCATTATTTTCCATCAGAATTTACCAATTATTTTAATTTTGGGGTAGAGTAATAGCAAATAAAATTTCGGTCAAATTTCGGTCAAATTTTGTCTTGGGATGTTATCGGTCGGTATTCGGTCGGAAATTTTTCCCAAATTTTGATTTCGGTCGGTATCGGTCAGACATTTTTTGGAAAATGACACCACTAATCTGAACGGCCCACGGCGGCCTGGTCAGAGAGCGTCCCGCTGTGATCAGGAGCAGATCGGGACCTGACCCCCCCCCCCACCCCACGTGTCTGTCTGTCTACCCACGGCGGCCCGGTCAGAGAGCGTCCAGCCGTGATCAGGAGCAGATCGCAGCCGCCCGTCAGCCTCGATGCCGCAATTGAAGCGGAGAGACCGCCGGCTAAAAGCCAGCCGCCACACGCCGTTAGTGAAATTCTGGGTAGGCTGGTAGGGCTCGATACGGACAGACTGCAGTATGGATATAGACCGGCTTCTAAAAGCGCAGGCTCGTACCGATACGGGCCGTGCCGCTGGCCACCAAACTCGATATGATTGATACAAGCTAATCGAAAAATTAATAAAAAAAAAACAATTTGTAGGTTACGTAGATTGTGTGTAGATACTGCAGGTACGGCAAAGCATTGCATGCATTTTAGTTAGACAATAGACACCGTCAGTGTTTGCTTACCATCTACGACCCCGTGCTAAGCACAGGCTCCGATCCGAAGTGTCGCCGTCAGTACAACTAAATCTTCCTCACGCACTCCCAGCCCGTCCGACACAAAATTAAACGGGACCGTCTGTATATTGCTGCACCATTCCTCTCCGCAGTGGGTTCAACAGGCGCACAGGCCACAGAAGCCCAGAACTGTAACTTGTGACACGGTCCCGGCGGCCAGTCAACATACCTACTAACAGTCTGGTCCGTGCGGAGAGCCACGCCTGCCCGCACTACCCCGGCACCTATCACAGTACATGGTATGTGTGGGTGTGTATTGTGTAAGGCACCATTTAGTACGTACACCAAGGCACGGCGCGACCCGACCGGAATATACGGAGTTCAGCGAATAACACTGCCTCTTATGGACGACCGGCCTTCAGCCAAGGCCCAGTTGGCACGGAATGGAAGCGCAGATCATATCCGAGCACACGGGCTCAGTCAACAGGTACCAACGTCGGCATTGTGAAATGGCGGTCTTCCTCAGCTACTCTCTCCGCTCTCCCTCCGCCACTCTCTCTCCCCTCCCTCCCAAATACCTTACAACTGCTCAGCAGCGACCCCGCCACTCCCGCCAAAACCTTCCCCGTGGATTATTGTCGGCCCACTAGCTGTATATACGGTTATGGTCTGTGAAGACTAATATCGTACCTCCCGCGAGACTTGGTCCCGGACCGCGCGGACGGACGGAGCGGTCCTCAGCTGCTGTGCGGCCCCTCCCCGGCGGCTGGGCAGGACACCCCGGACCCAGAGACCCCCAGCCGGTGGTCCGATCAGGTACGACCCTGCCCGGCGGCTGCCACCGACACCCCGGCCCCACAGACCCCCAGTCGGCGGTCCCATCAGGTACGACCGCGGCGTCCCAGTACAATGAGATCCCGTCACACGCACGGACGACTCTGAGCCCCGCGCTACATACGGCGCACGGCCGCTGATCGCGTCAGCGGCGGCCGGACAGCGCGTAATCAGCAGCGAGGGGCGGCCGGCACCTCAGTCCCTCCCCCTCTGCCGGCAGCAGACACAGCCTCCAGCCGGCCGGCCGACCGCCGCGGGCAGGCACTTCTCGAGGCACTGGAGAACGTCTTCAGTCTGTTAATTGAACTTGAAAGTCGGAGCTACGATGCGTCTGATCCTCCAGATTTGCCTGCTGGACCCCAGACTGGAGTCTAGTCGGTCAGTAGAACTCGGGGTCGGAGCTCTGGTAATTCTGCTCCTCCAGACTGGAGTTTATTAGTAGAACTCGGAGTCTGAGCTCTGGTAAGTCTGTTCCTCCAGACTAGACTCCAGGTGCGCCGCCAAAGAGAGTCTCTTCATGGCGGAGCCTGGGGGTACAAAACATCGCGTCAGTTGACAAATCCCACAACCGTCAACACGTCTGTCACCGCTGTCATCCCAGCTATCACCATTTGACACAGCTGTCGCCTAAACTCAACAACTGACACAACTGTCACGAAAACTGTCAACATTGGACACATCTTTCACTAAACCTGTCACATACAGCAGTAGATGGCACAACTGTTAACGTCTGTCACCGAAAGTGTCACATACCACAACCACACAGTAGGTACAGTAGGCAAGCAATCCAAGATCACATACAATCAGCCATCGTACCACGTAACGCCCCCCCCCCCCCGACATGTCAGCCGTCCCGTCGGTCGCGTGTCGCGTCTGGGCCCGGTTGGGCGGCAATAAACCACCGTGAGGTCGCGGCCGTCGGGTCAGATTTGCCGGCTGGCCGGCACGCGCCGTCGGCTGACCGCCCGGGGGGGGGGGGGGGGGGTCCGTCGCGGCCGGTCCAGTCACATCAACCGACAGCGTCCACCCGGAGGGGGTGGACACGGAGAGCGTGCCACACAGACGGGGCGGGGACGCCTCGGGTGGTGTGTGGTTGATGTGATAATGGACAGCGAGGGGTTACATACAATGATTTATGGTGATGAGCGATGACGAGCTCGGGTATAGAAAACCCGTTGGGACTACCCAGACATCTAGACTCTGCTGGACGGGTAGCTGAAGCCGCTGGACAGCTCCCCCCTCTCTCTCTCTCTCTCTCTCTATCACTCTCTCTCTCTCCTTCAATCCCCTCTCTATCTCTCTCTCTCTCTCTCTCTCTCTCTCTCTCTCTCTCTCTCTCTCTCTCTCTCTCTCTCTCTCTCTCTCTCTCTCTCTCTCTCTCCCTCAGTCCTCCCTCCCTAACCCGTCTCGCTGAGCCGCTGACTGGAGCCGCTGGAGGACCTTCCCTCCCTCCCTCCCTCCCCACTAACCCGTCTCGCTGAGCCGCTGACTGGAGCCGCTGGAGAGCCGGACGGACGTCGCCATCCGGTCGGCCCTGTCTCCGGCCAGGATCAGCGACAGACAGTCGGCGTGCGCGTCCGATACCGTGGTGGCCAGCGCCGGCGTGTAGCCGCGCGCGTCCACACAGCTCACAGAGGCGCCGTGACTGACCAGCGCGTCCGTGACGTCCACCAGACCGCGCCGGGCCGCCACGTGCAGCGCCCTGCGGGAGGAGAGCGGCAGAGCGGGCCAGGTCAGAGAGGGTCAGCAGCCGTATAGGTATGCAGCACACTAGGGGGAAGGGTACAGGTCAGATCACTAGTCGTGTGCAGCGTCCTGTTAAAAGGGGGACATGGCGGGACAGGGAGTGCCAGGCCAGGTGTTGCGCCCTGGGGCGGAGTAAGACCTGTCCGGGTCACCAGCCACCTGAAGGTCGGGTCAGGTCAGGTCACTAGTCACCCCACACGACCCGGATACAGCTGAGCAGTTGGTCACCCGCCAGGGCAGCCCGGTCAGCCTCACAGGACCAGTCAGTCGCGCGGCAGCCCAACGTCCACAGGTCAATCACTAGCTGATAAATTGATCTGATTCAATAATTAATGTCTCCGCTGGTCCCAGGAGGTCTGCTTTGGGTCGGAGCCAGAGTCGCGGGCCGGCCGCGGCGGCTGATCGACAGTGACGAGAGCCAGGGACCGGCGGCCAGGCCGCTGGGAGGGACATAGGGGATCACTTCACCGCGGACCGGAACCGGGACCACCAGGACTGGAGCAGGGACCGCCTCTGGGACCGGCAATGACGACAACTTCATACCAAGAACAGCGGCGAGCGGCGCCTCAGCCCCCAGGGTCGGCATACAAAACTGTTCACTGCAGAAACTAAAACAGCTTTACGCTAAACGAAACGTTCAAAACTGAGCGGGCTAAACGTTTTCGTGGTAAAGCTATAGACGCATGCCAAGCGTGCGTTTTCACCTGCAAGCTCGCGGATTTCACACATCCCAAAAGATAAATTACACAAAAAGCAGATAAGTTCTCAGTTCTCACAGCTGTTGATCTGTAGCCCGTGGAGAGATTGTCTGATAAATCGAACATCCAAACATAACACAAATGACAGCCTCTTCCCCTATATAAAAAACAAGGAAATCGACAAAGTTCTTCAATGTTCTTTCAAAATTTATCGAGCTGAAGCGACGCTCCGAACCACCAATCCAAAAGAGCGCCTCCCATCCCCCAGTGAAGCTTAGCTGGAAGCAACGGTAACGCTGAAAGAGTCGGCCTGAATATCGACAACTACGAATGAAGACGGTGCTGAATGCTTGATTGGCGATGCTGTCGGTTTATTGCCATAAACGTGCAGTCATACTGAAGACGAGCTGAATTAACGGACCTAGTTATCGTTCATCTGATAACATTTATGACAGCGACAAATGAAACAGAATAGCTGTCACAAAGGGAGCCGCGTGGCCCAGGGAACACAATTACAAACACTGCAGACCAGCTGTCGCATACGCGGCCCATAAACCAGTCCCGTAAGCGGGCTGTGTCATCTCCCGCCTGCAAGCAATCACCCTTCGCACACTCCTATCACACTACCGAACTGGTCCCGGCCCCGAGGGAGCGATTCGGGCCGATCGGCTATACACAGCCACCGACACACCGCTGCCCGCCCGCCGCCCGCCGCCCAGAGGTCATCAGCGGACAGGGAGACCGGCGGTGAGCGCTTCCCACCTGCGGGAGCGGCCGCGACCCCCACACTTCACCAGCTGCCAGCGCGGGCTTAGTCAAACTAGGCTGTCCTATATAAACCTATCGCCCGACCAGATACACAATACAGAAATATCGGGGAATAAATCCGCACGACAGGCCCAGACAATAATCACACGACATCAATCCTGTATCAGTGACAGGGCGCTGCCAGTTAGGCTGGCCGGTGACCGGGATTGTGTCGTCTAAATAGAGCTGCGGCCCTAGATTGTCTCTGTCGGGGTTGGTCCAGGCTTGTCCTGTATGGTCTCACTCTCGGCAGTATCCTCTCGTTTCGTCTCAGCCTTCCGCGTCCTGTCCTCCCACATTCATACCGTCTGTTCGAGTCCCGGTCTAACACATACAGGGATGTTCACGAAAAACTGACACATTTTTGAACGACTTTGTGAACAAGTGAGAGCTCATAGAGACTTGATTTGTATGCCATTCGAAAGCATGTTGAAAAAAGTTTTGTATGTGCATAACTCCTTTAGGTAGCATACCAGGAGTTTTCAAACAAATAAGAAAACAATAAAATAGGGAAATTTGACTTGGCGACGAAATTTAGCGGAAAAACAATGAAGTTTTCGCGGCGACGATCTGCCACCAAGACTGAACCAGTCCACGAATTCGTCTAAAATTTGGCATATTAATTTTTCGGGGGATTATTTTTTATACTATTTGCATATTGTTGGCAAATTCCTAAGGAACGCCAAGATTGGTGGGTATGGAAGTGCTATTGTCATAAATCATAGCCACAGGCTGACAGTGGCTGCAGAGTGTTACCGCACCATCTTTAACGGCTCCCGTTAGCTGCTACAGCGGAAATGCGCCGACACCTACACCAATCGGTGGTTCTGGCACGTCGGGACCACCCCACGTGCAGTAACAACGATCATCGGTCTCATACGAGAACAGGGGGGAGGGGGTATTATCTCGCGCATCACCTCTCACCCATAGCCGGCCATTTCTCTCTACCTCAACACCGTGGTCTTGTCCTGTGAGTTCAGTGAGTGACATGGTCTGTAGCAGCGGCCCAAAGGACTTCAAAACTCCTGACGAGTGCGGTGGGAGGTGCTGCAATTCTCCAGGCACGTGCCCGTAAACGGGGGATAATTTCCTGTTTCGGGCTGAGTCGTGCACTGTTCCAAAAACTCGTCATCTGCAAAATACGCTGTAACTTCTTAGAAACGAAAATGATAAGTCCCCAAAATACCTCAATAAAAAACTTAGAAGTCCACTCTATTTACACATACCATGATCACCGTGCTGAGGGCAAGTGTTCTCTCGTTATTCGGAAATAAAATATGTCAGTTGTTTGTGAACATCCCTGTACTTAATCTTGTCACACAAGTTCTACCTCGTCCGACGCCACCTGTCCCGTCTCATCCAGCCTATATCATCTGGTCCGGGTCGGTTCCGTCTCGATCGGTCTCGTTTCTAACGTCTCAGCATTTCGACCAGCCTCGATCGGTCTCTCATCTGGTCTCCTTTGGTTCTCGGCTCCTCCAGCCTCGTCTGGTCTCTCCCTCTAGTCTCGTCCCGTCTGGGCCGATTTCGTCCAGTCTCATCCAATCTCGCCTCGTCTCTCCTCTGGTCTCGCCTCGTCTCTCCTCTGGTCTCGTCCCGCCTCGTTGGTCCCATCTCCCCTGGGGCCGATCCGAGCCATTTTCGCCGAATCTCCTGGCACCCAGCTGGAGTGATCACGACAGCGGAATCGCACTACTGGAGACGCGCCGATAGATACAGCTTCCTATCTAATATCTCATACAGCTACACCGATATCCGACACAGATATAGATGAATATCTTAAGTAAAACCACCACTCACTGCTGTAATGTAACGTCCGAGAGAGCCGAGTGGTGCACATACATATTTTGCCGTCACCCAAACCATGATAAGTCTCGGGGAAGAATGCTCAACGGACTGAGAACAGAGGAGATCAGTCTTCCTGCTCTGTCTCCCTGCCACGGTAATGTGGATGGTCCGGAGCTGCAAATGTTTCCCGGTGAGCTATTGCGCGTCCACACGATTTATGTGAACGTGAATTCTTTTATGAGAAGTGGAGATCCAGTTTTACCGAGGGAAATCTCAGGCAGGATGAGTGTGCCAGCGTGAAGATCTGAACAAACTAACCGGCGTACTCCTCTGCATCAATCATATCACAAAACAGCTCGTGAAACGTCTACTTAGTGGCAAATTACACTACCACAAATGATAGAGCGGCTTGCGGTAAGGTTTACCACGTGTTTTCCAAACATGCATCACTGACATAAATTGACGCCCCCCCCCAAGGTTACCACGCCGACCCTGCCCCCCCCCCGCTCAAATGCTGAGGAAGGGCACCAGCTCAGTGCAGCCCGATAGCGGATTGCTGGGGCGCCTGCTCATCTGCGGCAGCGCAAAACACACCAGTTACCGTCACCAGAAGGCGTCGGCAATCAAAACAGCGCTCCGTCACAGTCTGGACGGACACGGCACCGGGGCAAGAGGAAGGGCGCACTACGAGAGAGCAGGTGCGCCCGCGTGAGTACGGGAGGGACTTTCGTGTGTGGATACAAGCCCTGTGTAAAAGAATGCCCTTCTATGCTGAAGGGGGGGGGGGGAGAGATAACAGAAAAGCCGTTCTCGAAGCAGCCGTCACTCAATCCAACACACGGGAGATATGTGGCAGCGCGGTGTGTGATCACTAAATATCCCGCACGTCATGGAATGATATCACACGGTGATGTAACGTGACGCGGCGGGCCACAGCCAGCACTGACGCTGTCAGGTCACAAAGGATCCCAGTTGGTGCATTAGTGGAAACGAACCGGCTATTTCAGTGCTAAAATCGCTCCAAGTTGGTGGATTATGAGCATGCCGTATGCGGTAACCGCACTAGGTTTAGGACTCGTGTGCTTCAAAGCTCGGTGTGAGTTGGTTGTTAGTTAATTAGGGTTCACGGGGACGTGCGATACGGAGTCGTTGTGTCCAGCCGAGTGTGAGTAGATCCGCCTGTGGTGGGTCAGTTCTATCTGAGACTCGTCTGGCTCGTCTGTGACCGGTTCGCCGTGCGATGGCCCGCGGACGTTTATAGGAAGCGCGGTCTGTCGACCGCCGGGCCGGGCCTCCCCTCCCAGACGGTGGCAGGCGGAGCGCCGAGCAGTAACGCGATTAGCGGCCGGCGGATGGTGACTGGCAGCGGGCCGGCGGCGGGGTCCGTCGGCCACCGCAACACGGTATACCGGACCACAGCAAAACCAAAATAAACCAAACCAACATGCGACAGGTCCGCAGATAAACCAAACCAATTACTAAGGTCCGCGGCAGAACCAAAACCAACAGGTGACTGCTCAGCGGCCGAAACCAACACGTGACTGAAGCACAGACAGAAAACAAACGGGTAGCTGGTCCACGTCCCACCCAAACCAACAGGTAAAGTGCTACACCCCTCTCTCCAAATCAACAGCCTTCCGCCGTCCCTCCCTTCCTACGGCCTCAACAGGCGACCCATCCCCTCGCTACCCCCATTACACGAGTATATCGCAGCCACCGCTGGCTGGCACGTGTCGCAGTCAGTTCTCCCTACTCCGTGCCGTCACAGCTAGCCCTCGTAACCGAGACAGCAAGATGAAACGGCCGTCCGGCCAGCCACGAGTCGGACCACAAAGGTAGCGGAATCCCCGCTCTTTGTTTGGCTGTTGGCGTAGTCCGCGTGGATATCTTGAAATGTAAATAACCACATTTTTCCCAGAGTTTCAGGATAAGTGGTCATACATCACGGTCAACGGCGCGAGATTGGACACCGAAATAGGGTAACAGGAATTCACCGGTGGGGCCCGTTGAGGGATTAAACGTCGTGAGCGACTGGAAATTGGTTTCGGTCCAGCTCCTGCTGACAGGCAGGGATGGGTGGGCGGGCGGGACTCGTGATTTTTCACCGCAACGCATATTTAGGCGGCACACATGGTGCTGCTCGACTAAAACAAATTGATGAATAATGGATAACATGGCATGCATGGTTAGGATACAATTCACTCGAGAAAGAAAAAAACTCGACCACCAAGGTAAGACTTCCTGATAAATTCTTGCCCAACATTCACTCTCGAGCGTTGGCTATATCTCACGCCGGGGACACCTCTGCGTGTCCCCACCTCTCCCAGCGTTCACCACCACCGGGCCGCGCGGGGACGGTCCTCCCGTCGACAGACGCCGCCGGCCGACCTAACCCAATCCGTCCGGGTTGATCCAGCAGAGGCGCGGCGCCGACGGGCGACCGTCGGACGGTGGACGGCCCGTCCACCAGACATTACAGTACCGGACGGACGGACGGCCCGTCCACAGACATTACAGTACCGGACGGGGGGACGGCCTGCCTACAGACATTATAGTACCGGACGGACGGACGGAGAGAGGAGAGCAGTGGGAGGGGAGCCGGAATAGAGTACCGAGCTGAGGATGGGTGGGGCATCACTGCTTCTGTTATACATGGGCTGCGAATAAAGCTGTGTTCATAATGTACTTCGTAATTTCCTCTGGCAAGCCGACTCCATAGTCTTGTGTGCCATCACTCTGTATGCTTCATATACCTACTTAATTTGTTCGCTGTACCTCTGTTATATCTCGCTGCCGTGTTCTCTGAATAAAGTGCCTTCAAATATCTGCGCGCCATTCAGCTAGTCGCCGTCGGGGCCGCCCCGCCCGTTCAGAGTGGTCGCTCCTCCGTCTGCCTCTGTGGCGTGACCGAACTACTGCCGACCACAGAGCAGTCCAATCACGAGCCTCCCCTGGGAGCGGGCAGAGCGTGTCCCGTTCACCGGCCGGACGATATTCAGCGACCGGGGGCCGACGGCGGCGTATGTCTGTCTGTCTGTCACACGGTGGACGGCGCCGTCGATTCCCACTGTCGGGATACACTCCGATAGACGAGAGGGAGGCTAGCGAAGTAGTTCGGTCACGCTCCTGACCACAGCTGAAATATTGAACTGAATGAACCGATGGGATATCCCTCCTTTCACTATGGAAGACCGTCCAGGCAAGTTACATAAATACATATGCAAACGCTTCATACATAGTTGGCAAGATTGCGTAATATGGAACCTAAAAGCAATTCGATTAATACCAAGTCTGAGCAACAGTCTACGAGCTTACCCAGTTACATGAAAACTTGGTTCCACTGTACGAGTTCCACTCTTATTTTCCAACAGTGCCAATGATGCTCCCTGTAATCACAAAATTTATTGCGCAGCGTTGAAAACCAACAAGAGTCAATTTGGTCAGAAATTACGCCGGGAGCACTCGTTAAGCTCCGCCGTTCTTTTGGCCGCCAATCTATCAAATTGCAGCTCGACGGCGCACGTCCAATTGATAGATTCACGATGTCGAGACGATGTAGCGACGTACTATGGCGTTGCAGCGTTAACTGCGCTTCGCGCTGGAGCTTAGAATAACTCACCGCCGCGGAAAGAGACGCCTTGGCTGCCAAAACATACTCTCCGACACAAAATGCTTTCACTTGAATGTTTATGGCTACGAGCGGTTACCGAAACAGCTCGCAATGTTTAACAGTAATTGGTGCTTACTTTACATACATTACGTTACCTCTGTGCTTCGGACAGCAAAACACCATTTCTCTTTGGGACGGGGATCAGTATGACGCAAAGTTGACCGGATATTTCCCTTGTGGCATAGCACTGCTGAAAACACCGCCGGTTTACAATGCTGGGGGACCTCTCGGGGGGGGGGGGGGGGAGACTGGGGTGATACTACACGTCCCCGCACTCATCATAAAGTGTCTGTGAAATTGTCTCGTACTCACATATGTTCGGCCTATCTGTGTTACTTTCCCGTACTCACGTCTTTACGATCTTGTCTATGATTGCACTGTACTTGGTCACGTCTGCCCGGCCCTGTCTGTGTTAGTCTGATACTCACGTCTGCCCGGCCTTGTCCGTGATGTTGAGCAGTGCCGGCCTACCGACTCGCTCCACCAGTCGCACGGCCACGCGGCTGTGCTCGGCCTCACAGGCCAGGTGGAGCGCCGTTCGGCCGCCGCGGTCCCGGTGGCCGGCCGGCGAGCCGGCGTCCAGCAGACACTCTGAGGGCGGCGGGGAGTCGCAGTCAGAATGGTAGCCTACGGCGAGCCGGCGTCCAGCAGACACTCTGGGGGCGGCGGGGAGTCGCAGTCAGAATGGTAGCCTACGGGGAGCCGGCGTCCAGCAGACACTCTGGGAACGGCGGGGAGTCGCAGTCAGAATGGTAGCCTACGGGGAGCCGGCGTCCAGCAGACACTCTGGGAACGGCGGGGAGTCGCAGTCAGAATGGTAGCCTACGGGGAGCCGGCGTCCAGCAGACACTCTGGGAACGGCGGGGAGTCGCAGTCAGAATGGTAGCCTACGGGGAGCCGGCGTCCAGCAGACACTCTGGGGGCGGCGGGGAGTCGCAGTCAGAATGGTAGCCTACGGCGAGCCGGCGTCCAGCAGACACTCTGGGGGCGGCGGGGAGTCGCAGTCAGAATGGTAGCCTACGGGGAGCCGGCGTCCAGCAGACACTCTGGGGGCGGCGGGGAGTCGCAGTCAGAATGGTAGCCTACGGGGAGCCGGCGTCCAGCAGACACTCTGGGAACGGCGGGGAGTCGCAGTCAGAATGGTAGCCTACGGGGAGCCGGCGTCCAGCAGACACTCTGGGAACGGCGGGGAGTCGCAGTCAGAATGGTAGCCTATGGGGAGCCGGCGTCCAGCAGACACTGGAGAATGGCGGGGAGTCGCCGTCAGAATGGTAGCCTACGGGGAGCCGGCGTCCAGCAGACACTCTGGGAACGGCGGGGAGTCGCAGTCAGAAAGGTAGCCTACGGGGAGCCGGCGTCCAGCAGACACTCTGGGAACGGCGGGGAGTCGCAGTCAGAATGGTAGCCTATGGGGAGCCGGCGTCCAGCAGACACTGGAGAATGGCGGGGAGTCGCCGTCAGAATGGTAGCCTACGGGGAGCCGGCGTCCAGCAGACACTCTGGGAACGGCGGGGAGTCGCAGTCAGAATGGTAGCCTACGGGGAGCCGGCGTCCAGCAGACACTCTGGGAACGGCGGGGAGTCGCAGTCAGAATGGGGAGCCGGCGTCCAGCAGACACTCTGGGGGCGGCGGGGAGTCGCAGTCAGAATGGTAGCCTACGGGGAGCCGGCGTCCAGCAGACACTCTGGGAACGGCGGGGAGTCGCAGTCAGAATGGTAGCCTATGGGGAGCCGGCGTCCAGCAGACACTGGAGAATGGCGGGGAGTCGCCGTCAGAATGGTAGCCTACGGGGAGCCGGCGTCCAGCAGACACTCTGGGAACGGCGGGGAGTCGCAGTCAGAATGGTAGCCTACGGGGAGCCGGCGTCCAGCAGACACTCTGGGAACGGCGGGGAGTCGCAGTCAGAATGGGGAGCCGGCGTCCAGCAGACACTCTGGGGGCGGCGGGGAGTCGCAGTCAGAATGGTAGCCTACGGGGAGCCGGCGTCCAGCAGACACTCTGGGGGCGGCGGAGAGTCGCAGTCAGAATGGTAGCCTACGGGGAGCCGGCGTCCAGCAGACACTCTGGGGACGGCGGGGAGTCGCAGTCAGAATGGTAGCCTACGGGGAGCCGGCGTCCAGCAGACACTCTGGGAACGGCGGGGAGTCGCAGTCAGAATGGTAGCCTACGGGGAGCCGGCGTCCAGCAGACACTCTGGGGGCGGCGGGGAGTCGCAGTCAGAGTAGGGAACGGTGGGGACAGAACAACACACTCCTAGACAGGTAAGACGACAATCACACTGTGAACAGCAGGGACAAAGCGTCACACTATTGGACTGACAAGGTGACATTCACATCAAACGTCAGGGACAGACACAGAGGAAAATGTTGGGGGCAAACAAGTTCCCTTGTTTGTCACCTAGCAAAGGTAGGACCACCTGAATGACACAGACTACTAAAGTTGCGCGTGCCTCAGACTCTCCAACTCCGCGCTAAGTTTCCCGCCTCTTCCCGGTCTCCCGCGCCGCTCACCGACGGTGCTGAGGTGTCCGTGTCTCGCTGCCGTCTGCAGCGGGGTCCGTCCCTGTCTGTCGCCGGCGGTCAGCGGCTCCCGACAGGTCACCAGCAGCGGCACACAGTCGCGCCGGCCGCGCTCGGCGGCCACGTGCAGCGGCGTCCGGCCGCGGCCGTCGGCGCCGCCCAGAGGAGCCGAGCCGAAGTGGGTGAGCAGCGCGGACAGACAGTGCTCGTTACCCTGGTACCTGGCGGCGCAAACGGAGGGAGGTCACTGTAGGAGGCACTCTCACTGGTGAGGGTATAGGCGAGGCGTGCATGTCACGCATAAATGCGTTCGTAAATTGGTGTTCGATGAATTCACGCTAGTAATGCCGCTAGTAATCACGCTATTTCGAGCAGACTTCGTCGTTAAAAACACTCAGCGCCGAGGCTTCGTTAGTCGACCAATTCCCATCTCGAATAGGAAAAAGTTGATCATCGTTCAGTTTGAAGTGTGTGGGTAAAACTTGTCCCTGAAAACATTCTCTGAACACGCAGTTCGTAAAGTCAGGAAAGACAGTGCGACAGGTTCCGCTATTTTATACACCTATACCACGCTGATAACTATATTGCTATTCTAAAAAAGTTCCATTTATAAGAAATGCATTACTCTCTGGGAGCTTTTGTTAACACTCCGACGTTCATTTTCTCGCGCCAGTCCCAGTTCCAGCTAGGCGGGAGTTAATTACAGGAGCTCTGGCTAATAGCACCGCTGACCAGCCACAGACAGGAAAGGAGAGAGACTACCCCGGCGAGTCGTCCGGGCGACCTCCGCCCGCGGGCAGATAATTATGACACCGAGCCGTGGGGTGTGAGGGGGGGGGGGTCCATCGGCACGTCATTAACCGCCGTCCAATTAGCGTCTGCTCGCCGACAGACAGTGACGTCACATACTGAGCTCGCACTGCGCAGTTCATTAGCCCGCGGCGCACCCGGACCGGAGTTCTACACACGGACCGGCCCAGAGGGGGGCGTGGTGTCAATGTGAGCTGTTTTTTTTTCTCAAGGGAATGTTCGTTCCAAGACGCAGCGATTGATACCGAGGTCTTCAGTTGATCGGGAGAATGATTCATGAGTTGGGAAAATGTCGAGTTTTGTTTTGGGTGACAACGTGTTACACAATAAAGCTTAGCGCCTTTGACGTAAGACTTATCAGGAAGTTCTTAATCCAACTAAGATGCTAATGTACCTAGGTAGGTATATCGTACACAGCATCGTTACTGTCACAGACAATCGGGTACATCGAAAACAAGCGATGTCTATGAGAACTGAAAGCGAATCGCATTTGTAAATCAAATCGATGATACACGACAAACTTAGCTTCCAGCTCATCAACCAAATGTGTCAATCCTATTTTAACGGGCGTTGTATGAACTGCAATCCGACTGGACCTTTGAGCTCTGGCGACATGATTTGACGTCTGATTTGATTCATTTATCAGAGCCTCTCTCTGCCGCCGTCGCTCTGTATCGGTTTACCGGGCTGATAGAGTAAACAGCCTGTTGCTGGAGAGCGGCCGGTGTGGTCGGCAGCCGACACAGACGAATGGACGGCGGGAGCCGACCAGGGCGGGGGCGGGCGCTACCAATCGAGCTGGCAACGCCAGGGGAAATAAAAATAACCACCCAGGCATGAGGTAGGCACGCTTTCTAATAAAACACTCCCAGACAGCATCGAATCACTGATTAGCTCAATCTGTTTTCAGCCATTTTTCATGATAGTCAATCGATCAGCATAACAAATAAATGGCATAACAAATAAATAAAAGCCGCCGTTACAGAGTAACAGCGGCCTCGGGTATAGGGAGAGACACACCACCGATCAGACCGACAGCCTACCGCGCCCCGTGTGTGTCTGTAATCTGTGTGGAGCAGTGACCCGGCCCACCGCCGTCCTGTTACCGTCGGTAGGTAGCCGCCGGTTTCCGCCCCGGTTGGGCTCAGTGTGAGGTCCAGCTGACTGGCGCTGACGGCCCATCGGCGCCAGTTCACCCGGAGACGGCCGGAGCGATCAGCGCCACCGACCGCTGACCTTCACACAGCAGGGGCGGATCCAGAAAATCTCCAAGGGAGGGGCCATTAGAAACCAGGAGGCCCCCCCATAATCCCACCTGTTGGAGGCCCCATCTTCCCACTTGTTGGCCCCCCCCCAAAAAAAAAACTGCGTCTATTGAGCTTATCTAGCTGTTCAGGCAACATCTCAACATCTGTGCAGGCTTGGAGGCCCTCTGTGCAGGTTAGGAGGCCCTGTAAAAGTGGTCATCTCTGTGAGTATAAGAGACCTCCAAGTTATGAAAAGCTTTACCAATCTTCTAACAAAGAAGTCTTCTCAGCTAGTCTTCTAAGAAATAACTAAGTGGGTAGGTTAAAAAAAAACTCATCGGATTTCGGCCACTTTATTTTCAGGAGGCCCCCTTTTCAGCTTTTTAACTTTTTAACTTTTTATTTTATTTTTGAAAAAAAAATCGGCCAAGGGGGGGGCCATGGCCCCCATGGCCCCCCCCTTGTATCCGCGCCTGTCACACAGCAGCGCTGACCGATCGCTGACCGTCACCGCCAGGCCACATACTGACAGCGGTCACTGCCGGGGAGTACTCCCCATCGGCAGAAGGGATTACCCGTATTGACACGGTCATCGCTGCCCAGAATCGGACGGACCGTACCGCCAGACCGGGCGGCTGGGTGGAGGGCCGGCCGTCACGTCTGGAGCGATACTGTGCCGCAGTGCATGCCTGTCGCGCGGAACAGCATCCAATGCTCTCGGTACTGTTCCTCCAGTGGCATCGCGCCGCCAGCTCTGGCGGTTACCTCTACCCGTTTTCCTCTAGGAAAACAAGGCAATGTAAACTGATTATTCAAACAGCTCGAATTGATGGATACAACAATCCAACTGGTTTATCACCGCATCATTCGATTTTTTTTCTTTGACTGATAAAGGCTCTGTTTTTTTCCTTCTCACTCAAAATTGTACGAGGAAAGATAGCCACCGGTTAGTTCGACCAATGGAAACCAGCCCTCACAAAGCACACACAGAAGAAGGGAACAAAACGGACATCAGCTTAACTCGTCCAGATGAGATGAAATCGAATCAAGAAACCAGTAAAACGGAAACGTGGGTCGTTAGTCCAGTCCGCCCAAAGAACCAATCAGTATTATTGCCGCCGGAGTGGAAACTCGCGACTGTAGTACCGATACATAAGGCAGGAAACACAGAGGACCCTAACAATTACCGACCGGTGTCTGTTTTGCCGACCGTTGCGAAGCTAGTAGAGAGCGTCGTGTGTACACAGCTAATGTCATTCTTGCTGACTCATAATGTTCTCTGCGATGAACAGCATGGTTTCCGGCCGGGACGATCCACGGAGTCGGCGATGCTGGATGCTGTTGGCTATCTAATGGATGGTATGGACCGTGGGTTCATTGGTTGCCTTACCACAGCTGATACATCCAAGGCCTTCGACAGCGTCCAGCATCGCCGGCTCCTGGAGAAGCTCGGCTGGTACGGGATTGACACTCATTGGTTTGAAAATTGGCTGGGCGGTCGCAGGCAGTCTGTGAGAGGTGGAACTGGAGGTACGCTACCCATTACTCATGGGGTGGTTCAGGGGTCATTGTTAGGACCAATTTTATTTTTAGTATTTACAAATGACTTGGTGTCTTATATGGATGGCTCAAAAATTGTGATGTACGCCGATGATGTGCAGTTCTTGCACCAGGGATAGTCCAATAATTTGACGGAACTCCAAGCGACTGTTGAGAGCACCGTGGCCACTGCGCATAGTTGGTTTGATGAAAATTGTTTGAAAATCAATCCCAACAAAGCTGATCTAACTCTTATCAAATCTACCAGAAGACGATCTCCGTCTCAATTATCTGTTCGTTTTGGCAATGCAACTATCAAACCTTCTCCAACAGTCAAAGTGTTGGGGATGACAGTAGATGGAGGACTCACATTCGAAGCTCACGTCTCGAGCGTGGTGCGGCGCTGCTATGCCACACTCGGTGGTCTCTCAAAAATGACCGGCAAATTGCCCGAGATGGTGAAAAAAATGATAGTAGAAACGCTGATCTTTCCACACATTTCGTATTGTTCCACGGTGTGGGCCGGGTGTACCAAGATCCAGCGCCACCGTTTACAAAAGGTTATCAACCACTGTGCGCAGGTGGTGAAGGGCACCAGACGGTCTGCCCATGTATCACCACTGATGGTAGACCTGAACTGGCCATCCATTGACTCATTGATCACTGAGCGTGATGTTGCACAGGTGCATTATTTGCTTTATCACCCCCAAGCGCCGTCCAACGTAACCCAGGGCATTGTGCACCGATCCGATGTCTCCACCAGGGACACCAGAGCCGCTGTGGCTGGTGCCCTGCAGATTCCCAGGGTAAACAGTGAACATGCGCGGAAGTTTTTCTTTTCCCGCGCGCCCGCCCAATGGAATCGCGCCCCTGCCGGTGTGACAGGGGCTCGCTCAGCAGCGCTGTGTCGCAAAAGAGCGAGAGACTGGCTGAGGGAACGCGACTGATATGAATGTGTCACTAATGTGTCTTCAAACATATACTTTGTGCTTCCGTATGGGTGTTGTGCATTTTAGTGTTACTATTAGCTTTCGTATGTGTATTTTATCTTTGTATGTACTTTGACACTTGTCCCGAAAAGCCATTTACCATGGATGGACATAAGAATAAATGATGATGATGATGATTACGCATCTTGGAAGTTGGTCTTCTTCCACCAGCTGACGTCATAACAGCAAAGTTACAGCAACGGCCGAGTCATAGTTGAACTGCCTCACCAAGCGTTGGTGGACATCATTATCCCTTTTAAGTTTTATGTGTATATAAATATGTCCTAACCTACATCCCTGTAAAAATCATTAGGTTGTCACAGCTGCCGGCAGCCACATTTTTACCACCAAGTCTTGCACTTCAGAAAAGCGGAAGCCTTGCTAAAACGCAGCGCATACACAGCGAAAAGTGTCGCATCTGAATGAGTCCGGCTAGACTGCAGCCACGTTTGAAGTTCAGACAACAAAGGGCATCACCTTGATAGCTATGTAAATTAGGGCTCTGTAGGATAGGGTTACACAGAAAATGAAAATAAATTTAGCCCAGCGACGTATGCATGTAACCAGCTGGGATCAGGAGCGGATTTTGGGATAGAAGTTCGGTAGCGGCAGTGTCTCCTTGATAAAAACGCGAGCCTGACGCTACAAACGTGATCGAGCACACGTAAGCATCGACAACAGCCTGGCATGGATACAGAACGATAAGTCCACACTTCACAACAAATGCTCTCTTTAAAAGGCGCAAACATCACCCCTAACGAATACGAATTTCAGCACTAGTAAAGCCTAGCCAAATCTTCGCCAGAAAACGGTTTTCTTGCAAACATGCATTATACCTAGTAACAGCACTTTAAGTTAAATTTTCGGGATAAGTCTCCAAGTTACTTCAAACTCCAACGCTCGTTGTTCAACTTCTGTACAAACGAAATCATCCGTAAGTCTCGGGTCTCCAGTGGCGCTTCTCAGACCCAGTCTACCGAATGGGCGCCTCGCTTTGTGGCAAACTCCCGTTTTTGCCACGTTTCAGCATCACCAATTGAACGCTGAAGAGTCGCCGGGACCAGAGTGGTGGGATAACTGGCACCTACACTGCGTGAATAAAGTGACAACCGCTGCCGCCGCTTAAGTCGCCTAGCTCAACACGCCTACTGTGGTCACTGTCACTGGGTGGACTAGTGGACATCACAACTCCAATAAATAGAACAAAACCAAGTTAAAGCCCGGGATTCAGCTCTCACCACATTACTCCAGCTGCTACAGACATTCACCGGACGATCAGCGACCACATTTCAAAATGACGCACGCATGTGAGAATAGTACCACCGTTATATAAAGATCGGCGGCGGAAACCGACCCCAGAATAGCCCGTCCATCGAGATATCCTGTTCGGTGGCGAGCTCCGAGTGTGGCCAGATTGCAGCGATCACGTCACGGAGAGTGGTGTCCCGTTCAGACCGATGGCCCGACGGCCAATATCGGCCCTCTCCACTACAGGCGGGCCGGACGGAGATCGCGCTGTTACCACCCACCCAGCAGTGACGTCTCCGCACCACATGGTATACGAGTACAGTCGATGTATCCAGCAAGCAGTGTACGGTCCCCGTATCCAGTAGTACCTGCATCCAACAATATCCATTCGCTGCGCCAAACATTGTCCCGCCCCTGTACCAAACAGTATCCCTGAATCCGACGCGGTGGCCATACGTCCCCACCGTCAATTATCTATCCACATAGGTTCCCCTAGGTTCCCCGTCCTCAGCGGTACTTACGCGGCGGCGTGGAAGGGCGAGAAGGGTGCGCCGACCAGCGTCTTGGAGTCGGTGTACTGGAGCAGCAGCTCGACACACGCCTCGTGACCTGGCGGGACACGGACGCAGGTCAGATAAGAGGTTTATTGACCGCGGAGACACAGATACAGCCGAAGGATGTCACATCTGCTCAAATACAGCCCGCAGGAAGGCAAAAACAAAGGCAGAGTGAAGTCACTATCCATCAACATGTCAGACACATTTAGCGTTGCAATGCGAAAATAAGAATAAAACGTTAACCACATTGATGTGCATTTGCAGCCCCGTCAACTATGTTCACCAAGCAGCCAGCTCTATCCGTCCGTTTGGAGGATTTTGTCAGTCTGGTCTGCCCAGCTCCCGGCTACGACCCGCTTCCGGTTACCATCCTGTCTGCCGCGCCCGGTAAAAGCTGGTGAAGGATTTACGTACTGTTGTGGCGAGCGTGGGACGAGTTAGTTACGTACTGTTGTGGCAGGCGTAGGACGAGCTAGTTACGTACTGTTGTGGCAGGCGTAGGACGAGCTAGTTACGTACTGTTCTGGCGAGCGTGGGACGAGCTAGTTACGTACTGTTGTAGCAGGCGTAGGACGAGCTAGTTACTTACTGTTGTGGCAGGCGTAGGACGAGTTAGTTACGTACTGTTGTGGCAGGCGTAGGACGAGCTAGCTATGTACTGTTGTGGCAGGCGTAGGACGAGCTAGTTACGCACTGTTGTGGCAGGCGTAGGACGAGCTAGTTATGTACTGTTGTGGCAGGCGTAGGACGAGTTAGTTACGTACTGTTGTGGCAGGCGTGGGACGGGCCAGTTACGTACTGTTGTGGCAGGCGTGGGACGGGCTAGTTACGTACTGTTGTGGCAGGCGTAGTGGAGCGGCGAGCGGTGCTGTCTGTCGAGCAGCGCGTCCACCTTGCCGCGTCCCACCGCCTGCAGCAGGGAGCCCATGACGCCCACGTGGCCGGCGGCCGCCGCCACGTGCAGCGCCGTCCGACCTGGCCATGGGAGGAGGGGGAGAGGCGGGGTTAACGGTGCAGAGGCACTCACGCTTAACATGGTACACACAAGGTCACATGAACACACATGGACTGGAATACACACGCAGATAGGGTTACTGAGACATGGCTAGCATAGCAACACCAGAATAGCACGCCACTTAGCACACTGTACGCTAATCAAACGACACATGTGTTGACTGTTATATAAACAAGTCGCATTGTCTTCTATTCGTTACCTGATAGCACCGGCTGAAAGAACACCCACCACCTGTTCCAACACTGCCCGGTCTAGAAAGAGCCCCTATGCAGCACGCCAGACAACCAGCAGTCTTCTACAGCACCAACAGGTGCCTGTGTGCCGCCGCCATTCCCTTACTGTCCCGGATATTTACGCTCCATTTACATACGTCTCCCGTGGGTCAACAGGCACCCGGCCGGTGCCCAGGGCCGGCTGTCCTCTCCGCACACCCGGCTGAGTTGCCCCGGCAGCACTCGGCGCCGGCTAATCCCAGTGTATCCTGGGGAGACCCGGCGCTGCCTAATTGTGCCGACTCGGACCGGCGCGGTCAGCCCCCGCAGTCCGGGGGATTAGTGCTGCGGCAGGCGGCCGCCGGAATCAGAGGGAGGGGCAGGGGCATAGCTGGTGGGCCGCCATGAGACACCGCCGAGCCGCCGGGACAGGCCGAGATGATCCACCCGAAATACTCGGATCGTGCGAGACTGGCATCGGGGTGCCATAATCAGTAATCACAGCAGAGCTGAATTGCAATACTCGCTGCCCCACGCGCTGAATCGAGACATGGCAACAAAGAACAGCTGAGCAAGTGAATAGTGATATACAGCTTTTCGAATTGTGTGTCCTGAAAAGGCAACGACAGAGATGATAGTCTAACAGTTTTCCGACGCAAATATATTCATGATTCAAACTGTAGCAGACTGATGAACGCCAGTGAAACCAAAGTGAAACAACCTCCTTATGCATTAAGCTAAAACAGCAGCATTACCAATAGTTTATTTTCAAAGTCAAAGTCAAAGTCAAAGTCATTTATTAGAATTCTTCCACGGGGTGGGTATTAAGAATCCGGTCAGGAATGTGACATGGTGACATAGGAGCTAAGTGAGACCCAATTAAAAATATATGATGCTGATACAATGGCAAAAGCTACGTTAAAACACATCGACGATTACATTAAAACACTCGCAAACGCATCATCCGCATGTAAGAAGTTGACATCAGCAGGTTGACATTCTAAAATCAGGTGCCTATGGCGGTGTCCTTCGCATTCCACGATGCTGCCGCTCTATATGCAAACTCCCGCTGAGTTCTTGCGAGCCGCCACTTCGGGAGCTGCAACTTCCCGGCTGCTACCGCGCGAGTGTCACGTGACGACACTTCGGCCCGGCGGGTGAACATGGCCGACATCGCTGGGGGACATTGGTCATTATACAGGGCTCTCTGGACGTGAACATGATCATGGCGGCGCAGCATCACATCCACCCTCTCCCAACCAAGCGACTCCAACGCCGGCGATATATGCTCGGACCGTCGTGTCCCGGTCACAAGTCTGGCGGCGAAGTTCATCGTCTTTTGGACGCGCTGCATTTGACACTTGGCGGCTCCTCCCCAGACGGACAGGCAATACTGAATGTGTGGGAACACGTGGGCTTGGACTAAGAGTTTAAGGACGTCAGGTGTGAGGTGGTGCCGGATTTTGTGGAGGGATGCGAGGATGGAGTTGCAGCGACGCACAACCATGGTTATGTGGGGATCCCACGTCAGGTGTCGGTCGAGCAGCACACCCAAAATTTTGACGGTCTGACTTGGCCGAATGTCGTTACCGGAGAGTGAGACGTAGAATGACTCAGTCTTTTTTAGAGTTTGCTGGGTTCCGATGAGAGTGACAAAGGTTTTGTTTTGGTTCATTTTTAGACTGTTGGCCTGGAACCACAGCTGGAGATCGAAGATAGACTGCTCGACACGACATCTGAGCTGAGAGAGATCTGGGGTTGTTGGAAGTGAGTGGTCGAGGAGTTGGGTGTCGTCTGCGTAGGAGAGGAGTCGGCCATGGGTGAGGAAACAGGGAAGGTCGTTGATGAGGATGAGGAAGAGGATTGGGCCGAGGATGGACCCCTGGGCCACGCCATGGGTCAGCGGGAGGGGATCGGAGGAGCCGCCGGTCACTACCTGTCTCCGATCGTGCAGGTAGCTCCTGAACCACATCGAGCTCACACCATACCACTCCAGTTTGTCCAGGAGGACGCCGTGGTCAACGCTGTCGAACGCCTTGCTGAGGTCAAGCGTCGTCAGCGACGCGACTCGTCCAGCGTCGATCTGCGTTGATATCCAGTGGACAGCGTCGAGCACGGCGTCCTCCGTGGAATGACACGGACGATACGCGTACTGGTGCGGAGACAAAACATTGTTTTTCACAAGATAAGACACGAGTTGGCGAGAAACGACCTTTTCCATGATCTTGGATAGTGCGGATAAAATGGAGATGGGCCTGTAGTTGCTGGGGTCTGAGGTGTCGCCAGATTTGTGGACGGGGATGACGCGGGCGAGTTTCCAAGCGGATGGGAAGACGGAGGAAGAGATGGAGTGATTGATGAAGTGAAGAAGATGGGGTCCTATCACAGCAAAACTACGCACAATCGCGAATAGCGGCACGCCGTCCACACCGACGGCGCGCGAGGAGCTCATGGAGCTGATAGCCTCAGACAGCTCCGGCAGGGTGACAGGCCCAAGCACTAAGGCGGAGGCACACACACAGGGCGGGCGAGGCCCCACGTCAGCGCCTCCGGAGCGAGCGACATCAGCCGCGACGCGAGGGCCGACCGACGCGAAATGAGCGTTGAATTCGTCGGCCCGTCGAGTGACGTCATCAGCGCTGCTTTTTCCTTTTCAATTTTTCTCGTAACAACCTAATTTGTGCCGGCTCGAATGAAGCATAGGCTCTCAACCGATAACATCGCAGCTGTCTGTTATCTGCGAATGTATGGACCACATTTGGGGGACATCGGAATAAATTTCCAGCAGCATTTATTGACGGTGATTTAGCGGACTCGCCGTGAATATATAGACTGGTCTGGGCCGAGGACAGGCTAATGCCGCATTACGGATGGGCGGCGGTAAATCCGCGGCCTTGGTGTCGATACGGCGTCCCCGGGGACACGGTAATGCGCTGTCCCAGGGAGATGGTCTGCGGTGGGAGCTCCTACCGTCAGGGAGTGGTAACTCAACACTCCACACCGACACGGCAGGCAGATCCCACTCGCCGACAGGCGCGTCAGGCCCCACAGTTGCCTCACAGCAACTGTCACGATTGCGCAGCTCTTCCGTCCCTGTGTTTCCAGGGTCGGAGACGAGTGGTCGTCTCCTCTCCCGCCTCAAAGGATCAGCCCCGTCAGCAGGCCGCAGCAGCAGCAGCGGTAAGTGGCTGATGATGACGACAAGACTGCGCCATTGAGCGGCCGACGGAGGGGGGCGAGCGGCGCTCCTGACACAGAAAACAACGGGGCCGACTGCGAACGCAGCACACTAATCCCTGCAGATTGTGTGCCCCACAAACCCCCAATTAAGCACAATTCCTGCGGATGTAGCACAAGTGAGGGAAGTGATCAACATTCAGAAGAGCCACAGGACAGACAAATGTGCGTTATGTAACGAAAGATACCGGCGAGATAAATGAAGAGTAGACAACTGAAAAAAATAGCAAATCGACAGGAAAATGGCCCACGCTGCGTGCAACACTCCATCAAGTCAGATCGCACAGGAAGTAGGCTCTTACGGAGCAGCAATAACCACATATTTCTTTCACGGCCCCATTGTCCAGGCTATTAGCCACTCTAGACGCCAAAAAAAAACATCGTCAGTTACCAAAAGCTCCCTCGGGCTCTGATACTTTTTGCTTCCTTACGCTGTCACTTCTCTTATCTAAAGCTGACAAAGCACTTCCCATCGGCAAATTGAGCGCCGCGATATCTAGCCATGGGCGGTGGAGTGGGGCTGGTCAGACTCGCGGGGATAACGAAACAGCAGCCCTCCGACAGGACCATTACTGGGGAGAGTCGGATGAGGCCGGGGGTGGGCAGCGGAGTGGATCTCAGCCACAAGAGTGGGCCAGGACCAGTCCAGGGCGTTTATTATTGCCATCCAAGGGAAATGTGACTTCATCATACCTTTCGTAGAAACATCACACAGAAGGGAGACCAGTGTGTAGAGAATACAAAAGTAAAACGTTTTAATCAAGTAAGCACACAGTTCAGAAGTCGGAAGCCTTTCCGTCTATTACCAGCGCGTCACGCAGCCACATCCGACAATGATAGATGCATAGACTCGGTGTGCCGACAGAAAATTCCCTTCAAAGCAAAGCTGCGTTGTCACTGCCAGCTATACATGTCGTGTGGGCAAATAATAGTCTGAAGGCATTTCAAACGAAAGCACTTCGTACTTCAGGAGTTCTCCGAAAAAAAGTTCTGGAAATGCAATTAAGTAGAAACAATTCAGTCAACTGCAGGTGGAAGAGGCGACTTCAGAAACCCTCTCGCTAAAGAAGGTTGAGCACTTGCCACCTAATTGGTTTTCAAGAAAGACACCGGGTTAAGCACATCGAAATATTCCTAACCGATGTCAACATGCACCCCGATGCATTTCGGTGAAACTGATCTATATTCTGCAGCGTTGTCTAACTTCATGTGGTGTTTTCGAAGGTAGATCACGCGGAAAGCCAATTCAGGACGCAATATCGTGACTGGCATTTCAGGAGATTGTGAAGCGCTCGCTGAACGTTCTTCGCATTTTCCCACGTAACATCCCATAAATCATAGATACCACGCGACCTTGAGAACTACTTCCCAGCTTCTTGTCGCTGCAACTTGCTAACTCTTAATTTCCACTCCTAGGATTTTCATCCCCTCGAAGTAACTCATCTCTCTCCAAGACACCAGAGGTGTCAGTACTGCTAAGCTCACGGGGAGGCTCAGGCAGAGTATACCACTGGGGGGTACCTGGGCGCCGCTCCTTCCCCGGGACACCTCCCCCCCCCTCAGTCCTCCCCTCCGACCGACAGCAGGCGCAGCAGCCGCCGGCGGCAGACGCATTAGCCAAGTGGCGGGCCTGGTAGGCGGCGGCAGCAAATGAAATCAGTCCCCCCGGACCAGGCGACCGGCACGCCGGCACCAATTAAATCATTGGAGTTAATCGCTGCGGCGCCCGGCCGGCGGACACGGGTCGGCGCGGCGGCCAATACCGGGCCGAGCAATCCTCCGGCGGCAGAGGGCTGCACCGGCAGACAGACAGACATACGGCGGCCCGGCGGGCGGGGCGAGATCCGGCACTGCAGTCCTCCGCCAGCCGCCCCTCCCCACGTCCAGACAGACACAGTGGCAAAGTATCGTCAGTAAAGTAGCGATAATACCGGAGTCTAACCAGGGATCACTAGAAACTTGTTTGCTAGTTTTTCACAATTCATTATTCATGACATCTTAGTAATAAGTTGAACCGACATTTCATGGCAGTATATTACACAAACGTATTACACCGCATTCGAATGATATTTGCCCGGGTTTTCTTCATTCATCACGAAGACTTTGTACTGCCAGTTTCTATGGAGGCTTTCTTTGCAATCCATATTTAGCCTGGCTTTGTCAGTCAAGCTGATAAGCCCACGCCACAAAGCTCTGACGGAGCTGACTGCTGAGCCTCCCACGACCGGGGGAGGGTCGAGGGGGGCACCACTGACAGGGGACTCACCAGTGGTGTCAGCGGCGACCGGGGGAGGGGGGAGTCACCACTGACAGGGGACTCACCAGTGGTGTCAGCGGCCAGCGGCTGACAGTCGGCAAAACACAGCAGGGCGTCCACACTCTCTTCAGCACCGCCCACCGCCTGCCGGTCACAAAGGTCAGGTCAGGTCAGGTCAAACAGTACCGCTCACCGCCTGTCGGGCAGACAGGTCAGGTCATACAGTGCCAAGCCCACCGCCTACCGGTCACAGAGCTCAGGTCAGGTTATGAAGTCATGCATCGCCAGATCAGGTCATAGCAGGTCAGCGCACTCCATGCCTGTCAAGCCGTGAGAAGCACGTATGCGCGTACACAGGTTTGCCTGAGGAAGCATGACACCTTTTCGTGCCTCCAACTTTTAAACCACACTTTTATTTTCATCTGAATTGAAAAAGCTCTAAATGACTGCTGACCTGGCGCCTGTTATAGAGTCTCATTTGACGGCCCATTCTCGACTGAGGGTCCTCCGTCACAGCGGGCACTGAGCGCCGTCTGAGAGAACCTCCGGGGTCAGAGAGCGTAAAACTGCCGCGCCAACGGCCGCCCGGCCGCCGGCTCAGCGGTGGTCGCCAGTGGAGCGGCCGCCGCCGAGAGGCAGCCATCAGCCCGATGGCAACTGACCCTCCGACCTGACCGGGTCGGCCGGCGGGGGCTCATTAATCAGACGGGGGCCGGGTGATTAGCGCAGATCGGCGACGGACAGCCCGTGAGCCGCTCCAGTCGTCAGGGGAACCGACCCGGGACGAACTGCCAGTGGTAAAGATCCAATACATCATCAAAGGGCGTGTCAATAGCGGGAATCTATCACCCTCAATGGCACAGTGACGAGCCGTGATCAGGGCGATCACAATGGCGGCAGACGGTTCATTATGCGGCACACAGAGTCCGCGGACCCAGTATCACCTCTGCAAATAACTGGGTGGAAATGAGAGCGAATAGACTCCAATGTAACTACACTGGCCGGTAAACTACCCGTACCTTCTACACGTACGGATTAAATACTACGAAAAAGTTTCGAAATTGCCGGAACTTTCTAAGTTTGCTGTATTTGCGCTGTAATCAGTTCCGCTGTTGCCGTGCGGATCTACCAGCTACTACGCACTTCGTGAAAACGTACGAGTATATCATCTTCCGAATCCTGCATACGAATAAGGCCTTTTTATCTGGATGATCTGGATATCTACAACAGAAAGAAAACGCGCTAGATCGCCAACCAAGCAACCAAGTCTCCACCCGAATCCCTACCTCGGCTAACAGCGGTTGCTGGGCGCCCGCCTGCATCATGGCGTTCACACCCGCCCACCGCTCCCCGTCTGACCTGGTCAGTCCCATGTATCACCCCGTGATGATCACCGTCTGGCCGCTGAAATTGCCACCGGGCCGGCGGATTAGCCGCGCCGTGAGCCGGCTCCTCTGGCCACCCTGACAGCCTCCGAACGAGCCCCGATGACCGAGAGGTAGAGAGGCGCTCAGAGCCCAGGCAGGTTTAAAGACGCTGCTGCTCGGATACAACGGCACGCTTCGGACTATCCCAAGAGCATGCCGTCGTAAATATACAGCATAACAAACACAAAATAAACCACGCTATAAATATTGCGATGAACACTAAATAACTACTTTTGTTTGAGCGATATGCCACGGAGTCGGCCATAAATAACTGCATTTTCCGGCGCCGCGAAGGATTCCATTTCCCGAGTGACTCCGGGCCTGCGAAATAACCGGCTCATTCTAAATACATCTGGATGGTGCACGTCAACAGCAGCTCGTCGCTGCATTGGCAGCCGGCGGCGAGCGTATTCAAACGGGCGTCCGGCGGGCCGGTTTGGAGGGGCTCCATTTGTGCCGGCGCCGCGCCGGGGTAATAGGACGGCTGTCACCGCCAGTGAGGACTGCTCGGCTCACTGACGGGGAACGGGAGTCATCACCTCACCGGGGGAGGTCCGACGGATGGCCAGTCGGTCAGGGGGTAAGGTAGTGAGCGATCTTCATCCGTGAGGCAGGCAGCTGCTGGTGGTGGATCGTTTTAAGAAATAGCATCTCTTTATTCAAACAAGTAGCGGCAATCATACAATATACCCACTAGCGGTGTGCCAAATTTGAACGCAATCGGCCCAGCCGTTCCTGAGATCTGGAAGCGGCATTCTGCACGTGTGCACGTGCAAACGGGGTCCAAAATGACTTTTGCACGGCACCCTACTAACTGGTCCCCAACCGTGTACCAAATTTGAGCGCAATCGGCCCAGCCGTTCTCGAGATCTGGAAACGCCCCCTGCACGTGCGCACGTGCAGTAGCACCCTAACCGCAACACATGCGAATGCATTGCCTGGTGGGTGCCTACCTGTATGCCAAGTTTCAGCGAAATCGCCCCAGTAATTACCGAGTTACTGAAATGGGAACAAATTTGGCACCTCTTATTGTTGTATTTTGCACGTGCACTGGGGGTGACCCACATGCATCGAGAGTATCCTATTTTGGGTAGAAGGGATGCTGCTACCCTACAAAAATTACCGCAAGTCAACCGCCCAAGCGGCTGCTGAGATATGAGCCTCTCAAAATCACTACTTTTGCAAAACAGCTTGAACACCCTTGACTTTTCACGTGGCACGTGCCACGACGGTCACTGAGATGTATCAAAAGTAGTCAATTACGGGGTAGAAGGGATGGGGCTACCCAACAAAAGAGACCGCAGACCAATCGGTCCAGCGGTTGCTGAGATATAAGCCTCTCAAAAGCGTTACAGGCCGGGCCGGGCCGGGCCGCTCATACTGAGATTTTTCCGTTATATTGAAAAGACTCACTTCACTCGCTGCGCTCGCTCGCTCGTAATAATACCCATTGACGATCAAAATCACCGACTGACTATCCTATATCAATTGACCAATGACCATTGACCACCGATCATCGAACACACGAACGCCGAGTTAGGCACCACTCTGTTTAAACAGCAGCACATGCCGTCGGTCACCAAACATCGACATCTCACTGTCACGGACAGCACTTCTAAGGATATCGGCCAGTGACGTTAGAACGTTGATAGGCGGATTACCTCCACAAGCACCACGTCCAGTTTTGGCCGTGAACAGCCGGTCAAATTACTCCCGCACCTGACCAGACTGGGCAGCCGGGGCGGTCGGGTCACGGGCTCACGGGCGGAGCGGTCCGGCCGCCGGTCACGGTTCACGGCTGATGAGGCCGCCGGCGCGGAGATTAGACCAATCGCCACCGAGTTCAGGTCGCCGCGGACATTAAAGGCCCGCCGTATGGGTGGGGGGGGGGGGGGGGGTCAGGGCACGTGCAGGAGAGTGGTCTATTTTAGGACGCGGAAGTTAACATTATGGACGTAATCATAACGGTTATGGTGTTGCATAACCACGCGATAGAGTGCCGCAGATGCACCGCAGCATAGTTCGTAGCAAATACATAGATGTGACGTTTTTTGTTCCACAACACCTCTCAGGACAGCACAGGCGACAGGCGACCTTCTTGTTCCTTCCAGACCCCCAGACACCGCCCCTGCCCATAGGCGCCACATCTCCTGCCCCGTAGACACCTCCTGAATCCAAGGACAGCCCGGGTGGCTGTCGTGTCAGCCTCCCGCCAAACACAGCTCGCACGGTGTACCACCCCGAGATCACAGCCGGGCGGCAAATTCGATGGATGAGACATGTAAATGCTAATTGGGTCTCGTTCAGGACGCGGAGCTGCAGCCGGCGTCTGTAGTCCGGAGTCGGAGCCGGCTCACACAGCTCCCCGACGAGATTCAGGCCGGCGTCAACAAACACGACCGGCAAAAACGTAATTAAATTGAACAAGTTCAGACGGAATTGGAAAAGCAGAAGAAATGGAATGCAATAAACAGAGTTAACGAAATACCAAATCATGCGCTGACAATTTTGCGTCCATATATGACAACAGCTGAATGCCAATTTGATAGGAATTGACTGCGTCAGTCTCATTCAACCATCAAGGCATCACAAATTTGGAGCGAAGTCCACAGAGCAAATTCCCGAACTAAAGCGGGCACAGCGTCTGGGGTCTCCGGTTCTCCTGTACGCCGTAAATTATCTCTCACACTCATATCCCGCTCGGCTCGTACTTGTCAGCAGCCGCGGCCATATTTAACGAGGGAGGCAGGCGACAGCGAGAAATCACCAGAAACTGAAATTGATTAGTTCGGCACCCCATTCCAGCTCGTAAATGACCAGGAAGATAGCCCATGAGAAGACACGGCTCGCTGCCATGGAGGAACTGCAATTTAACGATTGATTAGGCAGTTAATTTACAGCACAGGATAGTTTGTGAAAACCGTACATGGTATTTGAAATTCAATGCGACTTTATCACACCACCTTCGTCAGAAATTCACTATTCAGACAGCGAATTGAAGACAGCAAAGAACACACAGTTCTAGCGGCTCTGACGTCGAGAGGCAGCTCGAATATAAACGAGCCGCGCCATATGTAAACGGTGTCGCCACTCCCAAAGTCGCCCGCTCCAGTCCGGACAAACAGCCGTTCCAGCCGGAGGAGGCTCCAATTGCCGAGTCGAACGACCTTGGGGACCAACAGGTAGACATCGTTCACGAAAAACGGTGCGGTAAAAGAAAAAGAAAAGAAAAATGAGGCGGATGTCAAAGAACCTTGAGTCTTTGAATAAACAGACCACAGTCCAAATTGATGACAAAGTTGCTTTCCGATATTGCATTGCATATACCATAGGCAATGCCAAACATATTCGCAAGCATTGCTAGAAAAAAGAGTAGCCTGGGCATTTGACTTCAGTAAACCAGTTCCAACAAACACGAAAGACGTCATTGCCCAGAAAATGCAGGCACAGAGAAGACGCCCACAGCGGCAGCCGTGAATTTCGGCCTTGTCTGCGTCCTGGCCACACGGGGAATATTAGAATCTCGTTCCCAGAAGCACGCTCCCAGCAAATGTCAGACTGACACTGTGCCGTCTGCGCTGCTCGTAATGACACTGTACTGAAGGGGTCTGACACTACACTGATGTCCCTCGTACTTACTGGCGTAATCACGTCAGTCTGTAGTTCGTGCTCACCCCGTAATGAAGCGCCGTGCGTCCCCAAAAATATAGAGCCCAGCGTCTCCTCTTACTTGCCCCATAGCGGGCCAAGCGCGGTGCCTTACTCTCCGTACTTAACCCGTAATCTAAGGCCGTGCGTCCGTGTCCGTCCGTCAGTACCGGCTAGGCTACGTGCGTCCCCGTCCGTACTCACCCCGTAAAAGAGCGCCGTGCGTCTTTGTCCGTACTAAACCCATTGTACAGTGCGTCCCCGTCCGTACTCACCCCGTAATAGAGCGCCGTCCGTCCCTGCTGGTCCGTCAGACCGGGCTGGGCGCCGTGCATCAGTAGCAGCATCACCAGCTCTGAGCTGCCCACCTCGGCAGCCAGCATCAGAGCCGTCCTGTGGGGGAAGGAAGGGACAACATCAGAGCCATCCTGAAGGACGGGGAAGGTCAGTACGGGTTCAGTACCGTCCTACCGGTCAGGACGGGTCGGTACGGGTCATCCGAGTCGTCCTGCGGGACAGGATAGATTAGTAGTCACCCCCAGAGTCAGCAGGCATCAGTGATCGATCACGAAATCCATCCTGACGGACAGGAAGGGCCAGTTCAGGACACCAGTCGTCCTGCGGGACAGAAAGGGTTAGCAAGAGTCATCAGCGCCAAGGGTGGTCTTGTGAATCTCTACGAGTCTACAGTACCACCCTCATGGTCAGTTCCCGTCAGTGCGGGTCACCTATGCTGACCTACGGTCAGATCGAGTCAGCAGCCCACGATCAGCAGTCGGCATGGATCCCACTCTGGTCACTCCCAGCTCAATGTTCTCACAAGGTAACCCTATATAACTGTGCTCTCACGTTCAAACAGGCGTGGCGCCTGCCCAGATTCCCAAAACCCCACCTTCCGGTCACCAACGTCAAGCAGTCGCCCCACAGGGCGTTGCCGCACGTCGGCTGTACGTCCGGCGGGTACCAAGCCGGCGGTGTTTCATTAGCGGCTCGGTGTCCCAGCGCCATCCATTACGGGCCGCGGCGCCCGGCCGGTGCGGCGCTCGGTGTCGGCAGAGGGCCGGCGGTGTCCGCGCAGGATCCGGTGTCGGTGTGTGGTACTCCCGCGGAACACACACACATATCCACACATGTCCGGCGGAGACAGAGACTTAGGGAGAGGAGGGAGGAGTGAGGAGGGAGAGAGGAGGGAGGGGATGGTCCGTCATGGTCAGCCGACTATCGGGGCCGGCAGACATAGGAAGCCCCACCAGCCACTGCTGAGGTCATTACACGGTGGTGGACCGGCCCCTCCCCCAGCGCCGCTCCTTGTATGGGCCCACCGTGATGCATTAGGTACGGGCGTGGTGCCGATGAGCGAAGGGCATGTCACTTGCTACGAATAGCCGTTGATTTGTCTGCTTTAATCTTGAGATGAAATGAAATGAAAATTCTTCAACCTTCCAACATCCATTTCAGTTTCATTTTGATTTGATTGAACCTATCGTTACTGCCCTCTCCCTTCCCCACAGAGTCCACAGCCTCTTTCCCCGTACTTACCGAAGCCCGGTGCCCCAGCCCCGTGTCCCTGTCGCTGAACTATGGTCTCTTCCTCACCTGCCGCTGGTGTCTGCCCGGTTGATGATGGCCCCGAACTTGGGACAGGCGTGGGCCGGACTGGACTCGGCCGCCAGGTTACTGAACTCCACAGACGCCGGGGCAGACAGCTGGAACCTGCCGGACGGCGGTCCCACTCCGTCAGACAGCGGTCACAGGAGCAGTGCAGGTAACACCGGACTGGACTCGGCCGCCAGGTTACTGAACTCCACAGACGCCGGGGCAGACAGCTGGAACCTGCCGGACGGCGGTCATACTCAGTCAGACAGCGGTCACAGGAGCAGTGCAGGTAACACTGCTGAAATTCACAGCCACCGGCTCGTCGGACCACTTATGTGTAGTTGAAGGTCCAGCCGACGAATGTCATCGAATTTCCTAAACATTAATCTCATATGAAAAAAACATCTTACCAGTGACACCAGTGAAACATATCTTACCAGTGACGTTAAAACACAGTAACGCTTCTCATTTACATTGCAGCTACCACAACAGCGCTAAGCATCATCACACCTCACCATGAAAAATCCTGCCTTGGCAACAAACGCTGACGATCCATCGTTATAACCGCCCTCGTGTATTATAGCCCCCCCCCCCCCCCTGGACAACAATACCGCCGTCCACACGGGCGCGCGTTAGCCTCCGATGACGTCAGCGGGGGCAGAGCGGCGCCCATCCTCCGGCGAGCGAGTGAATGGATCTGTACAGTAGGTCTACTAAAAAAGTCCCCCGCTCCAGAGGCGGCCGGCCGGCCGAACCCCCGGATTCCAGCCCCGACTCTATTGCGCAGGCCGCGGCAGTAACACGGGTCAGGTCGCGGCGCCCGGCGAGTGGGTCAGTTGGCGGCGGCCGGCCGTGGAGCGAGGACGCGGTGTGTGGGGCGCAGAGATGCCGCAGTGCAGAGGAGGGGAAGATAGTGACTCTGCACGATGCCGGAAACGATGCCGGAAACGATGCCTTTGTGATCTAAATTAAACACCTGCACTGTAGTGCATATCCTCCCTTGCCCCATTCCTATTATATCGTAATCCTTCAATAATCCGTAATGACCATTCAACGCAAGCAAGCAAACAAAACAACCCGTTTAGTGGCGACATCATCTCAGATAAAAAAGCGACAGTGATGATTAGAATTGACTTTGCGCGAGGGCAAATCGAGGGGTATATATGTATCATATGCCGAGTATTTTATTTCCATCTAGCAAATTAAGATTGGGGATCTTGTCCAACAAGTCAGCGGCCGTTCTAGACACAGACAAATGCTTTGTTTTCGGTCGCATCATTATCTGCAATAATTCGAAGCGAGGTTTAACCCTCGCCAGCCGAGAAGAAGGGGTGGATGCCGCCACCATGCATTTTTTTTTTGCGGTAGCTCAAAGCACACTGATGATAGAAGGCTGACATTTCATATGCCTTACATTTGATTCAAGCCGGATCATTTAACCACGTTTTCATGTCAGGTCACTTAACTATGACGTCTAACCTCTGTAAACTGCACGGTTGTCGGTTATAAAATGATGCAAATCCATAATGCACTTAGTGTCATGATATAAGCATAATGGGAAAGTATGGAAACTGTTAATTTGGCGTCGGAAATGAGCTAAAACTATACCTCATGCACATGAAATCGTGACTTCATACATTCTTGGCAAGGTTTAATGCTTCACTTTTGCATTGTTCACCTTGCGTATCGGAGTGCTCGTCAATAGGAGTGCTTCGTCAATAACTCCCGATCAAAATGAGCTAGCCAGTCGGGACAGCCATCAATGGACTCTGCAAGACTTACCGAATCAAATGTTACGCAGCATGTCCTCCTTTCAACAGCTTCGTGACCTGTGTTGCCCTAACATGACATTGACCTAAACATCCTAAACTGCTTCACCTAAGCAAAAAAGCATATAAATCGACGCGTCTGAGAACACTGAACAGAAAACACGATTGTATCGAAATGACGATAATGCGACCTTTTTTGCGAAGTTATTCACCAAAAACCGATCCAATGCCTTAGGGCCCTTGACCTGCCCTAAGAGGTCACTGATATTTTAAAATGGGGTGACAGTCGCTGCGTCACGTAACGACGCAAGCGCTCGTTTTTTTCCGCGAGGCTCTAGCAATTAGCTCAATTATAGGAGCTAAACATGGGGATGGGGAATCGCTCCCTTCTCACTCACTATTTGGCCGGGATAGTGTTTGCAATTATTGTTAAAATCTAACATTTTAAGATTTCAAATGATCCATTTTTCCCGCCCAAGTCTTTCAATTTAAGGTCATAACACCAGGTCACGTCAAGTGACCTTACCTCAAGGAAAGTTCCTGTGCTCATCATATCTAAATACATCGACTAACCGATCGCTTTAGAACCTTCAGTGATTTCAATGGGCAACAGTATATGTATTTGAAACGTTTACTTTGCAAGTTTGACATTGCTGACAGAAAGGTCGGGTCAATTTTGAGATCGCTAAAGTCAATGGGAGAAAGTTGAACTGCGCTTTTTTTGGACGGAACGCATAATAAACACTCTGAAAACATGTGGTGCCTGATGAGATACAATAGGTACTGAATGAGAAAATTGTTTGTTTTGTTGGGAGCCATCTTTTTCGGCCTGAGAAGGTCCTTGCAGAGCTATGACATAACTATGCTCTGGTGTAGTAATTTGGTTGTGCGAGCCAGCGACAGTGATCTGCGGACTCCGGAAGCGTGACTGTTCCCGTGGGACGATTGCCCTGTCGGGCGGTCCAGCCGTCTCCCCAACGGTCACCCGAAGAGGGTTATGTGTCTTGGAATGGAACCGACATCAACTACAGGTTGGCTGGTGGGGTGACCTCCAGTCCAGAGAGGGAAGCATGAAGACTAGGGGCGATGCGAATTGTTTTTCCTGAGGATAGCGAGGATGGAAGGAATCTAGCACACTTGACCCTTCCTTATACTGAATGTATCTCAGGTTTTTAAATCTTCTAAGCGTTTTTTTTCTCGACATCGTCAAGGTGCCATTAATAAAAATATGAAATCCGGGAGGATAAATTAAATATAGAAATTGTGGCCAACAGAACATTATCAGTTGCGTTCAACATAGGTACTCGTAAGCATGATCACATACCCAGCTTACACATGAGCCATGTAATAAATATTTTTGATAGACATGCTTAAGTTATGAAATCATCTAAAGTGTTAGTAAAGTTTCACGATACGGATCTAATATCCTGCTATCCATCATGACCATTTCTGGTCAGGTCATGTCTTTTAACATAGGCATGTCTTTGAACATAGGCCAAATTCTTCAAATGACCTCCCTCGCCGGCACAGGGAGGGAGGGAGGGTTGATGCAACCCCCCTCCAAGTTTTTTCGCGAATAACTCGCGTAAAAAGCGGCCGATCGCGACTAAACTTTCAGTACCCTTGCATTGATCAATCTTACACCTACCCTGAAAATTTCATGACCCTGACCCAAATGACCTTTGACCTGTGACCTCTTTTCCGAGACCATGTTTGGCCGGAATCGCGATTCGGCGTATGTCGGCTCGCATTAGCCGCGCGTTTGCAAGCTTTTCGTGGTTTCAAGCGTTCAAACATGTGATTTGATGTTGCTCCGATGCATTAGGGTGGGTGTCAAGATCACCTGAAGGTCAGGTCAGGTCATTGACCTTTGGTGACCTCGGTTCACTTTTTCGAGTTTTACATGTTTCTATGCCAGTTTTTGGAGCTGAATTCGAATTTAGCAACCATTTGAACATTTACGAAGCTAGTTTTGGTGCCTTCGTAACATGTTACGAAGCTGTCAGAGGCGGATGACAGGTATTACGAATGCCCGTCATGACCCCTGGGGCATTCCACGATAGATCGTACCAATTTTTTCCAATTTGACACCCTCATCTCTCGGATTTTAACGATAATTGGTCTAAGGGGTAATCAGGGGCTCTGAATCCTCCTGTAACAATTTCAGGCTCATCAGATGAGTAGTTTTTGAGTTATAGTGTAAAACATGTTTTGGATCTTGCGTTGCAACGCCAAGTTTGGCGGGCTGCAACTCTAAGACGGATAATCCAAATGCCATATGCTATACGGCATTGAACTTGCATTGAAGCAAAGAATAATATGCATTTTTAAAATTTTGAAATATAAACTATTTTTGATATATAACACCTCGAGTTCCCTTTCATTTGCATTTTTATGCCTTTGGGACCAAATTTTTATGAATTTTTATTTGCTTAAAAACATTTTTGGATCATTATTAAGTAGTATGCAAAAAAATTAGGAAGGTGTTCTTTCTATAAATGTACTTATTTTACGTCACCGTAATGGTCTCGAATAGTGATTTCGGAAGAGAGCCTACAAATGGCGTGGTAAAGCTGCCTAGTGACATCACTGATTACTGAAAGTTCAATTGAAGTCATTTTTGCCTCACTTTTGCATTGTTGACCTTGAGTGACGTCATTCGTTCGTCACTAGGGTCATAAGAGTTTTTCGTCAATAACTCTCGATCAAATTGAGCTAGAGTGACGGGAAAGCTACCAATGGACTCGGGAAGACCTTGCAAATCGAATGATGTGCAATATGATGTCATTCACCCAGCTTCGTGGCCTGACCCGACTGTTAACCATCTCTGTAGCGGCGCTGTTTGTCCAGCGCCGCGCTGGTTGGTTTTGCCGCGGACTCGGGGCGGTCACGTGATGCCCGGGGGCTGGCTGCCGGCTGGGCCGCCCGGTCGGGGCGCGGAGCCAAATACACGGCAGTGTGCTGACCCGAGGTCAGCGACTTAAGCTGACCTCACGAGAACAAACAGTATACCATTCGACGCGCCGGAGCTAGGCAAACACAAAGATGCTAAAATCGCGGCTCTGCGACCATTTGTTGCTAAGTTATCTACCAAAAACCGGACCCGTAATTTGGGTCACTTGAAATGACCTCAGGGGTCACCAATGAACCCGAGACCTTAAAATGTGGTATCATTCGATGCATCTTGTAACGGCGCACATGCTCGTTTTTTCCGCAAGGTTCTAGCTCCATTAGAGGCGAAACGGTGAGCTGGGGTCGTACCGACCCCCCGGAAACCCATTTTGTATACATTTAAATGAGGAACTTATAGAAAGAACACCTTTCTAATTTTTTGCATGTCGATTTTAAATGACCCGAGGTTTATTTTGAAGAAATAAAAATGGCAAAAATTTTGGTCCCAAGGGCCATTATAGACAATTTAAAAAAATACTACGACTTTTTTCAATATGTAAGGCTTTTCTTTCCAATTCTAAAAATACTGTATTAATCTTTGATTCATCGTTAGTTCAAAGCTGTTTACCGTTTGTTGCTTGCTTAGCTCGTTTTTGAGTTATAGCTCATCAAACTCACCCTTACAATCTGAAGTTGAAAAAATATTATGCAATGTAACTCAAAAAGTTTTCATCTGAGAAGTCTAATATTTTGGCAGGTGTTTTGGGAGCCTATGATTATCCCTTATACCAATTTTCATTCAAATCTGAGAGATGAGGGTGACGGGCCTGGTACGATCTATCGTGGAATGCCCCCCCTACCGGTTGACCTGACCTGACCTGACCCGACCTGGTCTAAATGCTTTAAGACATCATCTGTGCTCAAAACTAAAACGATATTCGTGATCAGCACCCCGGAAAACCCCATAGCAGCCACACTTTACGACTTTCTAACAGGTCCCCATTTTCCCGATTTTCGGGTCATTGACCTGACCTGGAAGGTCACCCGATGACCTAGGACCTTAAAATTGGGTATCATCGGCTTCCTCTCGTGACGGGCAGCACGCTCGTTTTTTCCGTGAAGCTCTAGCTCAATCAGGGGCCAAGCGCGAGGGGGGGGGGTCGTGCAACCCCCCCCCCCCTTGCGCCGTCGAAGGATGCAAAATGGCCTGTGCCGGTGAGGCTTAAAGATCAACTTTTGATTCATTCGAAGCGTTTTGATAGGAGGAACACGAGGCTGGTAAAATTAATTTCATGTAGGTTTAGCTTAAAACTTTTAGTGTTTGTGGAAAAGCAATTGGTTTTCTCATAATACCGATGGTGGCAGTTGCTGTTATTTACGTGCTAAGCCGTTGACCTTAATTAAATCTGACAATATTATTCAGACATAGCGGTAAACGAGCTGCTTGTTGTGTTAGGTTAGGCTCTTTCGGTCGATTTCAGAGTGGGAAGGATGACAGGAATTAGGGGGAGACAGGGGGCCTGGGCGGGAGTCCTGAGCCTCATGCTCCGCTGGGGCCGAGCCCATCACGTGGGTTGGATTGCCCTGATACATGGATAGCCCTGGGCGGTGTTTCACGGCCCCGCGCTGCAGCACGCTGCGCTGCGCTGCCATGCATTGTAGCGGCGGTTGATATGAATTCGGCTCCACGCAAGCGTTACGAGCTTCCGAGTCTGTTGATGTTTCCATGGAAATTGGAAACCCAATGCACCGGCGCGCACAACGCATCCTGTCCAAGCAAAATTTTACCATCGATGACCTCTGGTGACATGACCTTTTGCTCTGAACCGATCTAAAATTGGCTGAAGTATTTTTCTTCTTTTTGCTACTTTCGACGCTACTTCGAATACCACTTAAATGCCCAAAGCTGAGTTGTAAGAATGATGCTAAATCCCCATTTCCCCTCCAACAGGACGTGAGAGTCTAGGCATTCCTGTAGGGCACGGGCTAACAATGACTATCTCATAATCATTGTGGCCATGAACAATGAACATCTACTGCCATTCTTTAACACCGGTTTCGCTGCGCTGAGCGGTGGCCGTCTCGTTTGTTGGATTCTACAGCTGGCTGGCGGAAAGCGTTACCGGCCGCCCGTCCGCCGCCCGCGGGCCGGACCGAGCGGTCCCGCTGACCCTAACTGACCTGATACCGGCGCGATACGGGACAGGCATACGGGGGTTCGGCTCAGCGAAGGCAGCGCCCACTGGTGCTGGGGACTTTTTTAATAGACCTACTGTACAGCGCCGTACACAAGTGCGCGGCAATCTGTCTCAATGAGTCGCCATCGGCGCATTATCCCGGCCTCCAGGGACGGTATTAGGAGAGTGGGAGTGATTGCCAGGCCCGCCCCGACATGACGGAGAGCTGCCCCTCTGAGTGCTGAGTGTCTGTGTGTATCTGTGTGTATCTGGGGTGATTGGGGGTAGGTTTATAACATCACCTGTTGAGTAGTTCGGTGAGCAGCGCTCTCACACACTCTTTGTGACCCCGCTCCACGGCAGCGTGAAGAGGCGTACGACCCTCGTCATCAGATATATCGATGTCGGCCTGTCGACACACAGAGGACGACGCGGTCAGGTCACAGGGTCAGGGTCACAGGCTAACGGTCACAGGATCTGGGTCACGGTCAATACCTGTAAATAACATGATAATGGTAGGTCAGTACCTCTTACGAGACCTGCATATGATCGTTGGAACCCGTTTGACTCCATCCCCACTTGATGGATGTACGACTATTTTCGCAGCTTCGTTTCACACAAATCACGACCGAGCCTTTCTCCGGCGCGGTGCATCAATAAGGGCTGACGCCGCAGCTGGGCGCACGGCGCTGATCTGGGGCCTAACGCCGGCGGCGCGGCGGCGGCTGGTGGCTGCGGCTATCGGGGGAGCCCAGCCGGCTGACCCGGGGACCGGAGCGGGTAAACACATTCACGGAGGACGGGGAGGGACACGGCAGAGAGGCGGAGAGAGGGGTGGGAGGGTCGGCGGTAGCGGCAGAGGGGAGGAGTGGGAGAAGATGTTGGTCAGAGGCTGACAAGACGGCGACGGCCGAAGGGAAGGAATAATGAAATTAGTAGAAGAGGTAGATGGTATTGGGAGCACAGCAAAGGCGGCTCGTTCAGTTCAAGGAGACGGGAAACTGGGCACAGGGCAGTCGGGTGGACCTAAAGGGACTGCGGAGTACATCTGAGGGGCAATAGGGCCTATCTGGAGTGATTCTGAGGACCTGAGATCAGTTGACGCACACTGATGCCCGGGTATCTGTGCTGCAGACGGCGGGCGGAACAGTTGCCACACCCAGTACCCACTGGAGTGGAACAGATGGACGGTGCTTCCGGCGGCACCTGCTGCCACTGCCGCCCGGCAGGCCGGCTGCCGTGATGGATACCCCGGTATATTAAACCGCCCGCCACCGGACGGCGGCCACCCGTCCCAGATCCGCCTGCCGAGCTGCCGCCCACTGCAACAGGCTGCGGTCGCCAGCCGGTCACACGCGAAAACACACAACATGAGGCGGTCCTCTATCTAGCGACTCTAACGCATACAGAAGGATTCAGATTTCAAGTTATTGGCCGTGACACTATTAGTGGTCACCCTTCACACCACAGCGCGCTGACTGTTGCTGTTGTAATGTTGTATAAGACAACAAACGTTCATACCGGGTTTGCGAACGTGTCTGCTGCTGCTGCTCAGTGCACAACCCGTCCCCAGATGCGACTGAATTAGCCTCCACCCATCACTCGCCACGTGTGTCATAAGTAATATCTTCCGCTGTGTCATAACTAATAACTACCTTCCACTGTGCGAGAGAGACCTGACACAGCTCGGTTCATATATGAAATAACTCGCAGTGTGCCTCGCATAGCCGTTCTCCGAACTCCTCCGTCGCAATAAAGACACCCATTCACGCTAAGTTATTTCTCCATTTTCCATTACGGTCCGGGGCACACAGACTCAATTTCCCGCCGGTGTCCGCCCTGAGAAGCCCAACTGCACTGACAGCGGTGTGTCTGTGATTAGGGGCGGCGTGCCGACTCTCCCTTTGATCAGACCACCGGCTGTGTATGTAGCGCGCAGCGGCGCCGCGTCCCTCACACCCTCCGCTGCAGTCACGGCGGCAGTGAGAGACGAGCCGCTCCGTCACCGGGCCGGGCCGCCGCTATCGGAGGTGTCACGTGACGCCCGGTGACGGCGTGACGTGACGCCCGGTGACGGCGGACGACACGCGTGTTTGGTTTGAGCTGTATCCATCGCCGGAGGGGAGGGGATGGCGGTAGTGCGGATAGGTGGGGATGGTGGGATAATAAGGACGGTGGCGTGACCTATGGTCAGTGGTCAGTGGTCACTGGTCAGTCTCCCTCTTTGCACGTGTAGGGGAGAGTGGGGTAATTTGGCCGCTTTTTTTAGAAAACGATGTAACTTAAAATTGACGACACATTTCTGCATTTTCTCAACGCTGGCAGGTGTCGCATTCATTTTACTTTACTGGACAGTGAACTTGAAATGATAGAGTAATTACTTATATTGAAATTGTGACGTATTACAAAGGTCTGCAAGGCGGCCAAATTGCCCCACTAGCAGGGTTATTTGGCCGGGGGTGTGGGGCAATTTGGCCGGTGTTAGTTTGCGGTCAGGATTTTCTGTTATATTGCGAGTCAGCTTCAGATTCAGCAATGACGTGTGTCCTATGACGCATTTACCACATTTTGGAGGTTGACTCATGGGGTCACAGGGGTCAAAATAGCCAAATTAGCGGCTCTAGATGCGAAGGCAGTTTTATACGAATAACTTTTGAAGTAATCAAGCTAGGCCAAAACTTCGAGTACCATCGTAATTCTCTCGTCATTCCGCATCAAAACATATATGTGTTGACCTCGAGAAGTCAAGGTCAAAGGTTGACCTCAGGTCACGTTACCTCAGGTCGCTTGACCTCAAGGTCACGTGATTTCAAGGTCATCATGCATGTCATTCGATGCGCCTTGGCGAGCTGAACAGAATGAGACCATTCATTTGTGCGGCTGTACCATTTTTATGTAAGGATTTATTAGCAAAAAACGTTTGGTAACCTTTGATGACGTCACATGCTCTTACAGTTGACCAATCGGAAGTAAGGCATCAAAGTAGTCAAAGTTCGTCATGAATTATGCCATTTATGGTACAGTCGTGTACAGGTTGATGGTCCCCTACTCTTTATCCACCGGGTTCCTATGGCTCAGCATTGGCAGCAGCCGCCTGGTACCGGTAGGCTGTGCCGCATGACCCGAGAGTGAAGCGGCACAGCCTACCCACACTGTATGACACCGGCTCGGGTCGCCTGGTAGAGCGATTTGACCGAACGCTGCGTTACACCGGCTGGGGGAGGGGGGGGGGGGGGTAAAGGTCAGGCCTGTCTATTTAGCTCGGGTCGGTGGATGAGGCGGGCTGGAGTGTGGTGTGGGGCGGGGGTGATGTGGGGAGGGAGTGAGCGGACCTGGGGCTGGGTGTGTGTGGTCACTTGTCGCGTAGAACCGATCGTAATCCACCCTCCAAAAATTCGCTTTAGAGATATTCACAAAACCCAGGGGGGTTCAAACACCCATCTCCCAAGTGGGGTGCGGAAGGACAGATAAGGGTCCATACGGTCTCCTCATGAATTGCAGCAAAGAAAGAAAACAGACCTGTCACCAAATAATCTTTCTGAAAAGTGGACTAATCGCATAGCCTCGGACACAGAAATAAACATCCAGCACGCGAAGCGTCTCGAACCGGGCCTCTCACTACCGGTCAGTTTGACAGTCTAGCACTCCTACGCTGAGCTACACCGGATGGTGAGCAGTGGCCACGGTTGGGGCAAAGTCTGGCCGGGCGGGCGGCGGGGCCGGGAGGTCGGCAGCAAAGTCAATGAATGTTTTTGTGGTTCCGGGTGCCGGTCGCTCTAGCTTGGTGGAATGATGATGGATCATTGGCAAAACTTTCAACGCGGAGTCCCGGTTCGAGCCTCATCGGGGCTCCGGCTACTTTTCCGAGTTAGGATCTGGTTTGATTTTATTGGTTGCGACTGCGAGCCATTTATACGGTTTTATATCTACATGTCGATTGTCGATTGATTGATTGATTCATTCATTCGTTCATTTATTACATGTCGACATTTAGCATACGAATTGACATCCAGGATCAATCCGATCAATCGACCATTTTCATAAGCGTATTGCCTAAATATCATGCATATATGTGGCACAAGACCTATGGTTGCCTCGATACCGTGCCAAATCACGTTTTGCGCAATGCACAAGTAAATTATATTCGCTGGGTCTTCCGTGCATTGTGCTTAGCAAAAACAGGAATGCAATTGTTAAGCGACGCAAAATGTGCAATGCAGCAGGTGGCCACACAACCCGCCCAGCCCCCATGGTCCACCAACACGCCCCACACCACTCCCCAGCCCACGCCAACCACCGAGACGAGCCCCTCCCCCCGCGCTGGTCTGACGTGACAGCTGGTCTACAAAGCGCTCCACCCGGCGACCCGAGCCGATGTCAAACGGCGTGGGTAGACTGTTCCGCTTCACTCTCCGGTCATGCGGCACAGCCTACCGGTACCAGGCGGCTGCTGCCAATGCTGAGCCATAGGAACCCGGTGGAAAAAGAGTAGGGGACCATCAACCTGTACACGACTGTACAATTGGACCATGAAAACTCGGCCGTCCCAGCATAGTGACCATGAGCGCACCGGCCAAGTTGCCCCGCTAGTCCCGGCCAAATTACCCCATATTGCCATTCTGAAAATTTTTGTGTATAAAGTCATCACGGCTATACGGAATTAGATGAAATTGCTCTTGGAACCGCTGAACACCCCCAAGAATGGCGCTATAATGTCTGAATTCGTTTTTAGCCCAAATACTACATATTATACAACTTTGTGAACAGAAGTAAAAGTTACCATTTTCTGATGAAATTAACGTTTTATTAATTTTAAATAAAACTACGAGGGGCAAAGTTTTGACATTTGTCCTCCAGTTATTTCTACCCATGACAAATGAATAGAGACTAGAGTTATTTCACTCACTTTTATTAGACATCGTCCAGGTGGGGGCGGCCAATTTACACCACCGGCCAAATTACCCCACTCTCCCCTACTTGCGAGGCACACAGGGGCGAGGTAGGACCCGCCATCCGCCTCCCATCGCTCACAAGATCGCCAGCGATACCAAGGTCTGAGGGATGGCAAGTGTGTCCCTCCTACCAATGCCAGGTCCGGCATGTCCACAATGATTTCACATAAGCCGCTGTAAGGTCTGGTGGAAAACCAGCCAGTGATGGCTAGCAAGAAGCAATATCATTTACCAGTTGTTGGCCGTGGTCAAATAATCCCGTGAACCAGGAAAACACGAACACGCTCTCTAACAATTCTATGAACGCCCTATTCTCACCATTTCATTTCATTCCTAAATTTTCATTTGCATGAATATTGTGATGTCCCGGTTTAATTCATTAGCATGTAAATTTCATTTCACCAGACATCTCGGGTCAACAGGTCGCCTGCAGCAGCTTGCCAGAGAGCTCAGAGAG